GGTCTCTTTCTGTTCTCTCTCTGGTCTTGTCAGGAATGAACCAGAGAGAGACCAGAGAGAGACCAGAGAGAGACCAGAGAGAGACCAAAGAGAGACCAAAGAGAGACCAGAGAGAGACCAGAGAGAGACCAAAGAGAGACCAAAGAGAGACCAGAGAGAGAAGTAGGCAAGTAATCTTTATCTACAGTGCCTTGCGTAAGTATTTGGCCCCCTTGAACCTTTCAACATTTTGCCACATTTCAAGCTTCAAACAAAGATATAAAATTTTAATTTTTTGTCATAAATCAACAAGTGGGACACAATCGTGAAGTGGAACGAAATTTATTGGATAACTTTTTTGACAAATAAAAAACTGAAAAGTGGCCACCTGGGAGACACACCAAACATGTGGAAGAAGGTGCTCTGGTCAGATGAAACCAAAATCGAACTTTTTGGCCACAATTCAAAACGATATGTTCGGCGTAAAAGCAACACAGCTCATCACCCTGAACACACCATCCCCACTGTCAAACATGGTGGTGGCAGCATCATGGTTTGGGCCTGCTTTTCTTCAGCAGGGACAGGGAAGATGGGAAGCTGGATGGAGCCAAATACAGGACCATTCTGGAAGAAAACCTGTTGGAGTCTGCAAAAGACCTATGACTGGGACGGAGATTTATCTTCCAACAGGACAATGATCCAAAACATAAAGCCAAATCTACAATGGAATGGTTCACAAATAGACGTATCCAGGTGTTAGAATGGCCAAGTCAAAGTCCAGACCTGAATCCAATCGAGAATCTGTGGAAAGAGCTGAAGACTGCTGTTCACAAACGCTCTCCAACCAACCTCACTGAGCTCGAGCTGTTTTGCAAGGAAGAATGGGCAAGAATTCCAGTCTCTCGATGTGCAAAACTGATAGACATACCCCAAGCGACTTGCAGCTGTAATTGCAGCAAAAGGTGGCGCTTCAAAGTATTAGCGCAAGGGGGCTGAATAATATTGCACGCCCCACTTTTCAGTTTATTTGTTAAAAAAGTTTAAATTATCCAATACATTTCGTTCCACTTCACGATTGTGTCCCACTTGTTGTTGATTCTTGACAAAAAAAATATTTTTTATATCTTGATGTTTGAAGGTTGAAATTTGGCGAAATGTTGAAAGGTTCAATACTTTCGCAAAAGCACTGTAAATAGTGCTTTTTTGGGGTGTCAGTGGACCATCTACAGGAGGATCAGTTTGGGGCTGGTGTTATGAGGATTGGGTGCAGCTCTGACCCAGAAATGGACAAAGCGGAGAATATATAGTGCTTTTCACAGACCAGTCACAAAGCACTTTTCAATTATTATTATTATTATTTTTTGGCCACCATTTTTCCTTTCACTCAACACATGAGAGGGGTCACCATACACGAGGCGCATGTCAGACCTACTGTTCAACTTCTTAGTGAGAGAGACTGGGAGACACATACCAGAGAGAGAGACCAGAAAGACAGACAAAAGAGACAGACCAGAGAGAGATCATAGAAGGTGACCATAGAGAGAGAGAGATAGGCCAGAGAGAAAGACCAAAGAGATATGCCAGAGAGAGAGACCAGCGAGAGAGAAAGAACAGAGAGAGAGAGACCATAGAGCGAGACCATTGAGCGAGACCATAGAGCGAGAGAGATTGGTCTGTATCTCTGGTCTCTGTCTCTGGCCTAAGAGAGAGAGAGACCAGAGAGAGAGACCAAAGAGATATGCCAGAGAGAGAGACCAGCGAGAGAGACCAAAGAGAGAGACCTGTGATTTGAGTTGTTTTGAGGCAACACCCAGCGCTAACGTGCCAGGGGAGGATTTCCAGATCCTTGACTTGGGGCCAAGTAAAGGCTGCACATCTGGTAGTGCAGTGCGACTGGTAAACACCATCAGCCCACGGAGACAAGCCCTCCTTCTGCGATGGTCCGAGAGGGGTTTCGGCTCGACTTAGCATTACACAATCATAGCATTTAGTTTACAGAACAACATGCAAGCTTCCGTACACTTACACCAGCGATTATGTGATTACGAGAAACCGAACGAGTGGAAGACCTTTTCTGGTGTAACATAGTAACGTTTATGAATTGATTGTCGTTAAAATTGAGAACAGAGACAACACTGAGAGACTAAGGGGACTAGAGAGGACTACCAGAGACAGAGAGAGACAGGAGACAGAGACAGAAGAGACAAAGAGAGAGAGCAGAGACAAACAGAGAACGAGAGTGAGAGAGCAGAGACAGTGAGACCAGAGACAAAAGGAAAGACAGAGACCAGAGACAGAAAAAAGAGACAGAAAGAGAGAGAGAGAGAGACAGATCAGAGACAAAGAGAGAGTGGCCAAAGATAATAGAGACCTAGAAACTATTATTTAACAGTTCAACCTCAGATATTTAAAATCCCAAGTAATAATATAAAAAATAAACATCCCCAGTATGAGCCACTTCATTTCCACAGACAGCAGCCCTAGAGACATTTGGTCTTTAAAGACCTTATGCCGGGTTTGATTTATTTAGAAACAGTTTTAATACCATTTTATATTAGAAGAGAACTACTAAAGGTTTCAAAATCAGTTGTGGTTTTTTTGTCTGATCCCCCCAAATCGAAATAACCCCATAGCAACGCCCTTAGAAACGAAAAAACTTCACAGCCCTTGGTGACGTCAGAGTGGGTACGTTTCAACGCTGTAAGTTGTTTACAATTTGGTATTCGTTCTTTTTTCGCGGATATTCAAGATGACAAGGCCGTGTACAGCGAGTGTGACATTAATACTAGATTGCGATACTGCGTTGTCACTGAGATAGTCCAGTGGTTGTGTCGATGGACTGTCAATCCAGATACTGGGGTTCAAATCCCACCTCAGACACATTTTCACACTCAAAACGGCAATTTATGTGTAGTGAGCAATTGTCACCTGTAGAGTGCAGTATTGTGTTGGGCATCAGTGGAGAGAAGAGAGAAAAGGCAGTCCTGTGGCATAGATCCATGGTTTTTTTTAAACCCGGCATAAGGTCTTTAAGTCCCAGGTTCTAGTGCGACACCTGCAGCACTGACACTGACACCGACACCTGCACCACTGACACTGACACCTGCAGCAATGACACTTGCAGCACTGACACCTGCAGCACTGACACCTGCAGCACTGACACTGACACCGACACCTGCACCACTGACACCTGCACCACTGACACCTGCAGCAATGACCCCTGCAGCACTGACACCGACACCTGCAGCACTGACACTGACACCTGCAGCAATGACCCCTGCAGCACTGACACCGACACCTGCAGCACTGACACTGACACCTGCAGCAATGACACCTGCAGCACTGACACCTGCAGCACCGACACCTGCAGCACTGACACCTGCAGCACCGACACCTGCAGCACTGACACCTGCAGCACCAACACCTGCAGCACCGACACCTGCAGCACCGACACCTGCAGCACCGACACCTGCAGCACCGACACCTGCAGCACTGACACCTGCAGCACCGACACTGACACCTGCAGCAGCACCAGTGATGGGAATAAAGGCGTTACTGTTTTCCGTAACGAGTAATCTAACTAATTACTTTGACTGTAACTATAACGCCGTTATCATTTCCGACATCTCGTTACTCAAGACACACAATAAACTTCTCTTTTTACTTCGTGATAGGACTTGTGCTGCGTGTTGTCATGAGAGAAGCGAGGATGAGAAAACCTCTCAGCAATTATTGGCTGATGTAAAACATATTTCCTTTACAATCTACATGTCTACAGTTGAGAAGATGGTCATAAATTGTGTTTTTGAAACAAATATGGGTCTTAATTGCGCTCAACCACGGCTACATATAACACATTTTAAGATAATTTAAAATGCACTTAGGGTAATTTTTTAATGACTATAGGAATGATAAGAAAGAGAGGTGAAGTGTAAGACGGTTGATTTTAGAAATTGGATGCACCCGGCTGCAGCAAAACAGAGTTTATGGAGGACACATGCGTTTTGTTTTACTTTTTAAAACTCATTGGACTCATTTCCAAATGGAGGATTACATATCTACGCTCAAACCATTAACTGGACTTAAACACGGAACTGGTCTGAACCGAAGTGGCCTGTGCAAGTCATTTATAAGGTAAGACCCATAACTCATAGTTTTGCGTTTTGTATGAACAAACAATGCGGGCATGAAACATATTTTGCTGTAGCCAAACAAATTGTCCAGTTGATTTATATGATATATATGTTCATCTGATTGGGCAGAAGTCGGTGCTTCACCGGTGTTTCCACATTCACAGTGGAGCGTGTTGGTGTTTAGTGCTTACAGCACAGAGAGAGATGGAGAGTGAGGAGGACTTCAGCAGCAAAACAGCCTTTTTCAGATGGAAATATCGGTACTATTTCAAACTCACTAAGGTTAAAGGTCAACATGTGCACGTCGAGTGCACATTATGTTCCAGAACAAAACGAAAAAGTAACGCAATAGTTACTTTTACTGGTAACTAGTTACTTTTATAGTGGAGTAACTCCGTTAGTAACTCAGTTACTTTTTGGGAGAAGTAACTCGTAACTATAACTAAATACTTTTTCAAAGTAACGTGCCCAACACTGAGCAGCACTGACACCTGCAGCAGCACTGACACCTGCAGCAGCACTGACACCTGCAGCACTGACACCTGCAGCACCGACACCTGCAGCACCGACACCTGCAGCACCGACACCTGCAGCACCGACACCTGCAGCACCGACACCTGCAGCACCGACACCTGCAGCACCGACACCTGCAGCACCGACACCTGCAGCACTGACACCTGCAGCAGCACTGACACCTGCAGCACTGACACTGACACCTGCAGCACCGACACCTGCAGCACTGACACCTGCAGCACTGACACCTGCAGCAGCACTGACACCTGCAGCACTGACACTGACACCTGCAGCACTGACACTGACACTGACACCTGCAGCACTGACACTGACACCTGCAGCACTGACACTGACACCTGCAGCACTGACACTTACCCGTCGTTGGAGCAGGTCATAAACTCCTCTTTCACTTTGGGATGCCAGCAGCCACAGTTCAGCATCGCTGTGTGGCCCTGCAACAGAGGAGAGGAGAGAGTCAGAACAGAGGAGAGAGAGGAGAGAGAGTCAGAACTGAGGAGAGAGAGAGGAGAGAGAGTCAGAACAGAGGAGAGAGAGGGGAGAGAGAGTCAGAACAGAGGAGAGAGAGGGGAGAGAGGAGAGAGAGTGTCAGAACTAAGGAGAGAGAGAGGAGAGAGAGTCAGAACTGAGGAGAGAGAGAGGAGAGAGAGTCAGAACAGAGAAGAGAGAGGAGAGAGAGTCAGAACAGAGGAGAGAGAGTCAGAACAGAGGAGAGAGAGTGTCAGAACAGAGGAGAGAGTCAGAACAGAGGGGAACAGAGGAGAGAGACAGAACAGAGGAGAGAGAGGGTCAGAACAGAGGAGAGAGACAGAACAGAGGAGAGAGAGAGGAGAGAGAGTCAGAACTGAGGAGAGAGAGAGGAGAGAGAGTCAGAACAGAGGAGAGAGAGAGTCAGAACAGAGGAGAGAGTCAGAACAGAGGGGAACAGAGGAGAGAGAGGGTCAGAACAGAGGAGAGAGACAGAACAGAGGAGAGATAGAACAGAGGAGAGAGAGAGAATCAGAACAGAGGGGAACAGAGGAGAGAGAGAACAGAGGAGAGAGAGGGTCAGAACAGAGGAGAGAGACAGAACAGAGGAGAGAGACAGAACCGAGGAGAGAGAGAGGAGAGAGAGTCAGAACAGAGGAGAGAGAGAGGAGAGAGAGTCAGAACAGAGGAGAGAGAGGGTCAGAACAGAGGAGAGAGTCAGAACAGAGGGGAACAGAGGAGAGAGACAGAACAGAGGAGAGAGAGGGTCAGAACAGAGGAGAGAGACAGAACAGAGGAGAGAGAGAGGAGAGAGAGTCAGAACTGAGGAGAGAGAGAGGAGAGAGAGTCAGAACAGAGGAGAGAGAGAGTCAGAACAGAGGAGAGAGTCAGAACAGAGGGGAACAGAGGAGAGAGAGGGTCAGAACAGAGGAGAGAGACAGAACAGAGGAGAGATAGAACAGAGGAGAGAGAGAGAATCAGAACAGAGGGGAACAGAGGAGAGAGAGAACAGAGGAGAGAGAGGGTCAGAACAGAGGAGAGAGACAGAACAGAGGAGAGAGACAGAACCGAGGAGAGAGAAAGTCAGAACAGAGGAGAGAGAGAGAGTCAGAACTGAGGGGAACAGAGGAGAGAGAGGGTCAGAACAGAGGAGAGAGAGGGTCAGAACAGAGCAGAGAGACAGAACAGAGGAGAGAGATAGAACAGAGGAGAGAGTCAGAACAGAGGAGAGAGGGAGTCAGAACAGAGGAGAGAGAGTCAGAACAGAGGGGAACAGAGGAGAGAGACAGAACAGAGGAGAGAGAGGAGCAGAGGAGAGAGGAGAGAGACAGAGCAGAGGAGAGAGGAGAGAGTCAGAACAGAGGAGAGTCAGGAGAGAGAGAGAGAGAGAGAGGAGAGGGAGAGGAGAGGGACAGAACAGAGGGGAGAGGAGAGTCAGAACAGAGGAGAGAGAGTCAGAACAGAGGAGAGAGAGGAGAGGAGAGAGAGGAGAGAGAGTCAGAACTGAGGAGAGAGAGAGGAGAGAGTCAGAACAGAGGAGAGCGAGAGGAGAGAGGAGAGAGAGTGTCAGAACTAAGGAGAGAGAGAGGAGAGAGAGTCAGAACTGAGGAGAGAGAGGAGAGAGAGTCAGAACTGAGGAGAGAGAGAGGAGAGAGAGTCAGAACAGAGGAGAGAGAGGGTCAGAACAGAGGAGAGAGTCAGAACAGAGGGGAACAGAGGAGAGAGACAGAACAGAGGAGAGAGACAGAACAGAGGAGAGAGACAGAACAGAGGAGAGAGACAGAACAGAGGAGAGAGAGAGGAGAGAGAGTCAGAACTGAGGAGAGAGAGAGAGAGAGAGAGAGTCAGAACCTAGGAGAGAGAGAGGAGAGAGAGTCAGAACCTAGGAGAGAGAGAGGAGAGAGAGTCAGAACAGAGGAGAGAGAGAGTCAGAACAGAGGAGAGAGTCAGAACAGAGGGGAACAGAGGAGAGAGAGGGTCAGAACAGAGGAGAGAGACAGAACAGAGGAGAGAGGAGAGATAGAACAGAGGAGAGAGAGAGAGTCAGAACAGAGGAGAGAGTCAGAACAGAGGGGAACAGAGGAGAGAGAGGGTCAGAACAGAGGAGAGAGACAGAACAGAGGAGAGAGAGAGACAGAACAGAGGAGAGAGAGAGACAGAACAGAGGAGAGAGAGGGTCAGAACAGAGGAGAGAGACAGAACAGAGGAGAGAGGAGAGAGATAGAACAGAGGAGAGAGTCAGAACAGAGGAGAGAGGGAGTCAGAACAGAGGGGAACAGAGGAGAGAGAGGAGCAGAGGAGAGAGGAGAGAGACAGAGCAGAGGAGAGAGTCAGAACAGAGGAGAGTCAGGAGAGAGAGAGAGAGAGAGAGAGGAGAGGGAGAGGAGAGGGACAGAACAGAGGGGAGAGGAGAGAGTCAGAACAGAGGAGAGAGACAGAACAGAGAGAGAGGAGAGAGATAGAACAGAGGAGAGAGACAGAGCAGATGAGAGAGACAGAGCAGAGAGACAGAACAGAGGAGAGAGGAGGGAGGAGAGAGACAGAGCAGAGGAGAGAGGAGGGAGGAGAGAGACAGAGCAGAGGAGAGAGGAGAGAGTCAGAACAGAGGAGAGAGTAAGTAATTAGTAAGTAAGTAAGTAATCTTTATTTATATACCGCCTTTTCACTGCAGATCTGAGTCTCAAAGCGGTTTACAATTGTTAATTATGGGCATTTGTCTCTCACTCCACACAGAGATGGGAGCGGGGTCGCCGAACAGGAGGCGCATGCTAGAACTATTGGACATATTTTTAGTGGTAGGGGAAACCGGAGTACCCGGAGGAAACCTACGCAGACACGGGGAGAACATGCAAACTCCACTCAGAAAGGCCCTGGTCCGACCGGGATTCGAACCCAGGACCTTCTTGCTGAGAGGCGAGAGTGCTATCCACTCAGCCACCGAGAGGAGAGAGACAGCAGAGGAGAGAGAGAGAGTCAGAACAGAGGAGAGAGAGGGTCAGAACAGAGGAGAGAGAGGGTCAGAACAGAGGAGAGAGACAGAACAGAGGAGAGAGACAGAACAGAGGAGAGAGGAGAGAGATAGAACAGAGGAGAGAGGAGAGTCAGAACAGAGGAGAGAGGGAGTCAGAACAGAGGAGAGAGAGTCAGAACAGAGGGGAACAGAGGAGAGAGACAGAACAGGAGAGAGAGGAGCAGAGGAGAGAGGAGAGAGACAGAGGAGAGAGGAGAGAGTCAGAACAGAGGAGAGTCAGGAGAGAGAGAGAGGAGAGGAGAGGGACAGAACAGAGGGGAGAGGAGAGAGTCAGAACAGAGGAGTCAGAATAGAGGAGAGAGAGAGAGGGGGGGAGAGAGAGGAGAGGGACAGAACAGAGGAGAGAGGAGACAGAGCAGAGGAGAGAGACAGAACAGAGAGAGAGGAGAGAGATAGAGTAGATGAGAGAGACAGAGCAGAGAGACAGAACAGAGGAGAGAGGAGGGAGGAGAGAGACAGAGCAGAGGAGAGAGGAGAGAGTCAGAACAGAGGAGAGAGGAGAGAGACAGAACAGAGGAGAGAGAGAACAGAGGAGAGAGGAGGGAGGAGAGAGACAGCGCAGAGGAGAGACAGCAGAGGAGAGAGTCAGAACAGAGGAGAGAGGAGAGACAGAACAGAGGAGAGAGGTGAGAGATAGAACAGAGAGAGAGAGTCAGAACAGAGGAGAGAGACAGAACAGAGGAGAGAGGAGAGAGATAGAACAGAGGAGAGAGGAGAGAGAGAGTCAGAACAGAGGAGAGAGAAACGAGTAGAGAGGCAGGAGAGAGAGTCAGAACAGAGGAGAGGGGAGAGAGGAGAGAGAGACAGGAGAGGAGAGAGACAGAAGAGAGAGAGGAAAGAGAGGAGAGTGGGAGGAGAGAAAGGAGAAAAGGCAGAGAGGGGAGAGAAGAAGAGAGGAGAGAAGGGAGCGGAAAGAGAGCAGAGTCAAAAAAGACGAGAGAAGAGAGAGAATAGGGGAAAGAGAGAGGAGAGAATCAGCTGAGAGCACTGTATGAGCCTGCGACGGAGCCCAGGCCTGAAGGTGAAGTGAGGTTTCGCACACAGAGAATCATTTGGTTCCAATTAGACCCAGAGGAGAAAATATGTACGTTAGCACTTTCTACGAGCTCCGCGATTGTTTGTGGAGCTGTCTGATAATGAGCACATCTGGCTCATAAAAGATGAAAGAGGAACGCGAGAAGAAGCTGAAACAAGGTCTTCTTCAAATTTCAGCAGTGGCCTTAGACTGAAGGAAGACATTAGGATCAGGGGAGAGACTGTACTCTCTCGCTCCTGTGGACTCACATCACGTCAAAGAAAACTCCACTCACTCAGTAAATGTTTGTGTCCCACGCTTCATTCTGGGCTCAACAAATCTGTGAGAGAGAGAGAGAGAGAGACAAGGGGAGAGAGACAGAAGCTGCGTTTCCATTGAGCATCAAATTTCGAAATTTGAATTTGCGAATCATAAAATGTCTAATGGAAACGCGCAAATTTCGAATAAACCACAGTGTTTCGATAAAAAGTTAATGCGCTTAAAATAGGTGGTTTTTTGGACGTATCGAAATTAAGTTTTTCGCAAAACGGCAATGGAAACACTTATTTCGATATAGCGGAGGAAGCCGAGCTGAGCTTTATTCAGTGAGTTTTGGCTGCGCTTCGTGTGGAGACTTGGGAGATACGTGGGAGAGGCATGGAGGAGAGACGGGGGAGAGATGGGGGAGAGGCATGGGGGAGAGACGGGGGAGAGACGGGGGAGAGACGGGGGAGAGACGGGGGAGAGACGGGGAGGAGACGGGGGAGAGACGGGGGAGAGACGGGGGAGAGACGGGGGAGACAGGCAAGACCCGTGTCTATGGTTCTGTGCGCGCGTCTATGGTCCGCGCTCGGTACATGACCACGGCGTTTGCGGAGCTGTCAAAGCAGCCACAGTTTCTCCCGGGGTCAGAGAGGATGAGAGCCGCAGCAGAAGTCAAGACATTAATATATCTCACGTAAATCAAAGTGTTGTTTACTTCTGTTTCCATGTTGACGTACTAGAAACTAGTGAATAAACGCGCAAAAATAGTGTAAACTTATTTGAATATGTCTTAATGGAAACGGCCGCTTTTGCGAATTACAGGTTTTTTGAATTTTGAAATGTATCGAAAAAGTTTTTGCGCATTATTCAATGGAAACGCAGCTAGAGAGAGACAGGGGGAGAGGGACAGAGAGAGACAAGGGGAGAGAGACAGAGAGAGACAAGGAGACAGGGGGAGAGAGAGAGGCCAGAGAGAGAGAGGCCAGAGAGGGAGGCCAAAGAGAGAGAGACCAGAGAGACTAGAGAGAAAGAAACCAGAGAGAGAGACCATAAACAGACCAGAGAGTTTTATGTGTCGTAAATGTGAGGATCAGTGAAAACCGTGGCTGTGTAGTATCTTTTCATTGTTTGTGGATGTCTCACTTTGGTGTTGGCCATGTCCACGATGTACTGGTCGCCTTTCGCACACTCCATGACGTTAAATCCGTCGCGGTCCAGGACTTTAGCCTGAGCGTTTCCAGAGATCACCAAGATGGCGTCTCCGGTGATACTGTACTGCAGAGACCGGATCTGGTGGCTGGAAAGAAAGGACAGAGTAACGTTAGCCACGCGCTACACTACCCTGAGCTCCACTGGTCCTGTGTAACCAGAACCAGGTCCTTCCTTAGTCCCTCTTGGTCCTGGTTCTATCCAGGCCGAGCCGGTACTAAAGTGTTCTGACTGACAGTGATTGGGCAGAGTGCCGCTGGAAGACATGGTTACCAAGATTGTGTAATGGAAAGAATGGTAGAGTAGAGAGAGTGAAGTGGAGTGGGGTAGAGTAGAATAGGGTAGTTTGGTAGAGTAGAGTAGAGTAGAGTAGAGTAGAGCAGAGCAGAGCAGGAGCTGGTGGAAATGGGGCTTAACAAACCTTGACTCAAAAGGTTTTGAAAAAGACATTAAAATCACATTAATAATAAAATACTAAATATCCCTGAACAAACTGAGGTCACAAAAAGTGGTTCTGTAAAAGAGATGAAGGACTGGATTCCAAGGAGAAAAAGCCACTTATTAGATCTTGGACATATACATGAGAGAAACCCCCAGGTGGGGGTCCACCTGGGGTGAAATGTAGTGAAACAGGAGCAGGATGAGATCTCCATCTGTGTGCGGCTCGTTTCAGTAAAGACTCCGGATGTGCAGGAGTCAACATGAGTCTGATGGACCACAACGAGACCAAAATAATGCACTGATGAGTCCCGGTCCCCATGTGTTTAACAACTGTGATTCTGTGAGAGAGACTAGAGAGAGACCAGAGCGAGAGAAAGGCCAGAGAGAGAGACCAGAGGGAGACCAGAGTGAGAGAGAGGACAGAGAAAGAGAGACCAGAAAGAGAGACCCGAGACCAGAGGGAGAGGCCAGAGAGAGACCAGAGCAAGAGAGAGTCCAGAGCAAGAGAGAGGCCAGAGAGAGAGACCAGAAACCAGAGGGAGAGGCCAGAGAGAGACCAGAGGGAGAGGCCAGGGAGAGGCCAGAGAGAGACCAGAGGGAGAGGCCAGAGCGAGAGAGACACCAGAGACGTATGGACCACTAGGAGCCATTGCTCCAATGTTGAAGGACAGAGAGACTGACCACTCGCAGGGCTGCAGCGTCCTGAACGCCTGCAGGGTCTGGTCCATTCCAGCAAAGTCCCAGAAGCGAACGTCGAAGTCGTAACCCCCGGAAACCAGCCGAGCTCCAGACGTGTCCAGGCCCAGAGCAGACACCTGAGACAGAAACACAAGTTACTACGGCTGCACGAGATCGGAAATTAGAGTGATATTCCATGTGAGTGTTTAGTATCGCAATAACAATATTAAGATTCTTTTCTTTCACCTAAAATTGCAATAAACATTGAAACAAACACATTAATGACATTCAAATATTTTATATTTGAATATTAATATACTTTACGGTTTGTTTGTTTGTTGTATTTGTTGAATGTTGATGTGTCTGTTTTATTGTCGATATGGATATCGACAATATGACACGCACCAATATCACGATAACGATATTTTTCCGATATATCATGCAGCCCTACATGTTACACATTTCACTCAAACATACATTCTGTTTTCTGAACAGCAGGGGCACAGGGACACAGGGACACAGGAGCACAGGGACACAGGAGCACATGGACACAGAACACAGGAGCACATGAGCACAGGGACACAGGGACACAGAACACAGGGACACAGAACACAGGGACACAGGGACACATAACACAGGAGCACATGGACACAGGAGCACAGGAGCACAGGGACACAGAACACAGGAGCACATGGACACAGAACACAGGAGCACAGGGACACAGGAGCACAGGGACACAGGAGCACATGGACACAGAACACATGGACACAGAACACAGGAGCACAGGGACACAGGAGCACAGGGACACAGGAGCACAGGGACACAGGGACACATGAACACAGGAGCACAGGAGCACAGGGACACAGGAGCACATGGACACAGAACAAAGGAGCACAGGGACACAGAACACAAAACATAGGAGCACAGGGACACAGGGGCACATGGACACAGGAGCACAGGGACACAGAACACAGGAGCACAAGGACACAGGGACACAGGAGCACATGGACAGAGGGACAAAGGAGCACAGGGACACAGGAGCACATGGACACAGAACACAGGAGCACATGGACACAGGAGCACAGGAGCACATGGACACAGAACACAGGGACACAGGAGCACATGGACAGAGGGACACAGGAGCACAGGGACACAGGAGCACAGGGACAGAGGGACATAGGGACACAGGAGTAAGGGACAGTGACCGTTTTAGTGCCGTGTTGCATCGTGATCTCATGAGTGTCCGGAATCTTCTTGACTGGATTCTAAAACAAACATAAATCAGATAAATATGAAAGATTATTATTGCCATCATTTACATCTGAGGCGTCACACTTTGACAAAGGGAAGAGAAGTTAAAGAACTTCTGAGAATAATATTTCACAACATTTCTATTGATTTCAATGGAAACGGTTAGAAATACTTTTAAGTATGCTGCCCTCTAGTGGCCTGTTCCGGCCATACATACAATTTAACACAATTATGGAGAGAAAACATACTTCTACTGCTGTCCATGTTTTAGACAAGAAATTATCTTAAATAATAAATATTAAATAATTACTATTAAAAGCGTGCAAAGAATTAGATTCACAAGAAATCGCTAGAGAGAGACCAGAAAGAGAAACCAGAAGAAGAGAGACAAGAGAGACACCAAAGAGAAAACAGATACCAGAGAGACCAGAGAGAGACCAGAGAGAAACCTTAGCGAGAGAGACCAGAGAGAGACCAGAGAGAGAGACCTGGCTTTAAATAAAGTTATCCATCAGCTGCCAAAGGTGGAGAGACCTCTGTTTAACCTTCATTTAATATATTTCTATCACAATAAAAAGTAGTAATATTATAAAGAAGCTATTATTGTATTTCTGAGGATAATTATACATCATCATCGTCGTCATCTTGAGCGTCCCCTTCTTCGTCCTCGTCTTCGTCGCTCTGTGCCGTGCTGTAACCAGGAGGAAGAGGAGGCCCCACCAGCTCCTCCTCCTCGTCTTCATCAGGCTTGAAGCGAGGAGGAGGAGGAGGACCAACCTCAGACTCACTGCTGTCACTGCTGCTGTCTGTGCGCTTTCTGAAAGGAGAAGTTCAAAATACATTCAATGGTTGCATGAAATTTGCTTTGGTTTCATTTTGCCAATGGTTCGCTCTCTCTAGACAAGACAGGGCCTTCTCTGTGGTCTGAAACCCAGAGCACAGGGCCTTCTCTGTGGTCTGAAACCCAGAGCACAGGGCATTCTCTGTGGTCTGATACCCAGAGCACAGGGCCTTCTCTGTGGTCTTAAACCCAGAGCACAGGGCCTTCTCTGTGGTCTTAAACCCAGAGCCTTCTCTTTGGGCCTAAACCCAGAGCACAGGGCCTTCTCTTTGGTCCTAAACCCAGAGCACAGGGCCTTCTTTTATTGGCATAAAGCTGGCAGACTTGTGATTTCAAATGTGTAACTTATTATGTGTATTACTAATTATTTGTATTATTTAAAGTGGATTTGTTGAACGCACTTTGCAGATGAAACATTGCTTTTTATTGATTTCTTTGAGGAGTTGGAGCGTTCTTCCTCTTTAGTGTGACTCTCCTTCTCCCTTTCATCTAGGAAACAAAATATTCAAATTAGTCTGAGGAGGACAGTGGCATCTCAAGACAAACATTCATGGACTTTACCAAGAGCTCGTTGGCTTCTCTCGATTGCGGTGCGTCGAGTTTGTTCAAAGATGGCGTCAAGATCAAAGGTTCGAGCCTTTTTACCTAAAAGCATGAGTTTTTACCGAGAAGTTAATGTGTGAATGGATCTACAGCCTCAGTCCTGGGTCCACAGCCTCAGTCCTGGGTCTACCGCCTCAGTCCTGGGTCTACCGCCTCAGTCCTGGGTCTACCGCCTCAGTCCTGGGTCTACCGCCTCAGTCCTGGGTCTACCGCCTCAGTCCTGGGTCTACCGCCTCAGTCCTGGGTCTACCGCCTCAGTCCTGGGTCTACCGCCTCAGTCCTGGGTCCACAGCCTCAGTCCTGGACCTATACAGCCTCGGACCTGGACAGCCTCGGTCCTGGACCTATACAGCCTCGGTCCTGGACCTATACAGCCTCGGTCCTGGACCTATACAGTCTCGGTCCTGGACCTATACAGCCTCGGTCCTGGACCTATACAGCCTCGGACCTGGACAGCCTCGGTCCTGGACCTATACAGCCTCGGTCCTGGACCTATACAGCCTCGGTCCTGGACCTATACAGCCTCGGTCCTGGACCTATACAGCCTCGGTCCTGGACCTATACAGCCTCGGTCCTGGACCTATACAGCCTCGGTCCTGGACCTATACAGCCTCGGTCCTGGACCTATACAGCCTCGGTCCTGGACCTATACAGCCACGGTCCTGGACCTATACAGCCACGGTCCTGGACCTATACAGCCTCGGTCCTGGACCTATACAGCCACGGTCCTGGGTCTAAAGCCTCAGTCCTGGATCAATCAGTCCGTATTTCAGACGTTTCTCCCAATTTCTCAGTCGTTATCCAGAATGCGTAAACTAAACAATATACTACTTTTTAAGGAACATCTAAAAAGGTGTAACATGTGAATATGAATGATGGTAATAAAAGCACATACCGAAGCCAGAGAATCCCATAACAGATGCAATCTCCCCATCACTGCTTTGTCCTGGGGCACAACACACAAAACAAGGTTCAAAATTAAATCACAAAACATCTCGGTAACAATATAAACTGAATTATGACTTGAAGTGAAACATAAACATAGCAAGAGAAATTCTCTTGGTTTCTCTGCTGGTTTCTCTCCTGGTTTAACTGGGACGTATCAAACAGAACTCGGTGTGTAGGTGTGTAGCACAGATTCAATGATTTCAAGAAAAAGTGAGAAGCTTAAGAAATATGTACAACTACACAATGCTACCTTCATTAGCCTCCATACTTTCGAATCTCGAACGAAACCCGGAAGTACTTCATTCTCTGCGGCTGCTGCAGACGGAGAGGAGCGCCCTCTAGTGGCATCAGGACTCCCAGAACTCCCCAAGCCGTCATTTTGACTACAAATAGAATGTAGTCCCGAATTTCCCCCCAAAATGACATGCATTTCATGAGGTTCACTGCCTTTACTCACATTTAATTAGTGCTAAACCCGGTGAATAGAACTGAAATAGCTGCTGACAGTAAACGGTGTGTTGCTATGGAAACCAGCGCTCGCTCGCTCTGCTCTGGTGGAAAAACAAACTGAACCAGAACCAGTCCAGGACCAGCAGCTTGGAATTGGCTTTAACCGCTATAGAAAGTTAACAGATAATGTCTCACTTATTGGTAAAACTCACATTTCAAAAACAAAAAATAATTTTATAGATATAATGGCATAAATAAGCAACATATAGATGTTGCTCTCTAATCTCACTCTTTCTCTCACTCTCTGTTCCTTCTCTGGTCTCTCTCTCACTCACTCGCTAGTCTCTCTCTGGTCTACAAAAGGTCGTCCAACAAATAAAAATTTTCACACATTTCATCTGAAGCGTTTTTGAATAAAATATTACATACTCATCAGTGATCAGTAACAAAATATATTGTGCAAAAACAATTACAAAAGCAAAAACACACAACTACTCATATAGCAGCAGCTTTAAAGTATTTTACCTACGCCCTGTTTCCACCAGAGTAGAGTAGAGTAGAGTACAGTAGAGTAGAGTAGAGTAAGTGGAAACAGGGCTTAATGGAGACAGAAGTGATTTATTCGACATGTTTAAGTTTCTTCTGCCACCATCTTCTCGATTGCAGCCCAGTCAATTCTGCTGATGTTGCTTCCAGTCTCTGAAAGATTATCCAACCAGTCCCACTGCACTGCTTCATCATCCTCCTCCTCCTCTTCTTCAACATCAAGTCCTCCAACAACCTAAAAGTAAAAAAAAAAATTCTGGGTCTCCGTCTTTGTCTCTCCGTCTGGTCTCCGTCTGGTCTCCGTCTGGTCTCCGTCTGGTCTCCGTCTGGTCTCCGTCTGGTCTCCGTCTGGTCTCCGTCTAGTCTCCGTCTGGTCTCCGTCTCTCTCTCTGTCTCTCTCTCTGTCTCTCTCTCTGTCTCTCTCTGGTCTCACATCTCTCTCTGTTCTCAGTCTCTCTCTGGTCTCTCCGTCTCTCTCTGGTCTCTCCCTCTCTCTCTGGTCTCTCTCTGGTCTCTCCCTGGTCTCTCCCTGGTCTCTCCCTGGTCTCTCCCTGGTCTCTCCCTGGTCTCTCCCTGGTCTCTCCCTGGTCTCTCCCTGGTCTCTCCGTCTCTCTCTCTGGTCTCTCCCTGGTCTCTCTCTGGTCTCTCCGTCTCTCTCTCTGGTCTCTCCGTCTCTCTCTCTGGTCTCTCCGTCTCTCTCTCTGGTCTCTCCGTCTCTCTCTCTGGTCTCTCCGTCTCTCTCTCTGGTCTCTCCGTCTCTCTCTCTGGTCTCTCCGTCTCTCTCTCTCTGGTCTCCGTCTCTCTCTCTGGTCTCAGTCTCTCTCTCTGGTCTCAGTCTCTCTCTCTGGTCTCTCCGTCTCTCTCTCTCTGGTCTCCGTCTCTCTCTCTGGTCTCAGTCTCTCTCTCTGGTCTCAGTCTCTCTCTGGTCACTTGTGTCTCTGGTTTAAACAAAGCATTAGATTTGAATCTCTACCTCTCTGCCTCCGTCTGTCTCAGCTGGATACTCTCTCTCCCACAGACTTTTCCTTTTCCTTCTGTCGTCTCCTGCGCCGGACGTGGGACTTGATTTGGGACACGTCACCATTCCCCGCCGGGTCACCTGCGAGAGACGGTCTCTGGGCAAAGACGTCACTAAAGAAATACTATTATTGTACATGTTGAACCAGTATAAACCATGGGAGACGTGGATGTACCTGGTCTGTCGATACCCAGCCGCTTATGGTACTGGTCTGAGAGAACGGGGCGAGGGTTTTCCAAAGAATTCTTATTCGAGGTTGTGTTTTGGATCCTTGGAGGAGGCGAAAAACAACGGAGATGTTGAAGGCAGTGGTGGACTTGTTTACAGAATACATAATACATTCTAATCACAGCCTGTAAACAGACAATCACTTCCATCACCTGAAAGTGCGATCGAAGGGAAGAGCCGAGGAGCGGGCGGTGAATGTCCTCGAAGTGTCGCAGAAGCCGAGTGTTGTCGAGGCACCGGCAGAGAGACCATCGGCCAAAGAACAGGCCTCTATGGTTCTCTGGTTATAGTGCTCCAACACACTGTTCACATACACATACAGTGTTAGACACAGACACACAGAGACAGACAGAGACACACACACAGACACACATACACGCAGACATGCATACACACAGACACACACACCCAGACACAAACACACAGAGACACACGCAGAGAGACACACACACACACACACACACACAGAGACAGAAACACAAAGACAGATACACACAAAGCCACAGACAGACACACACACACACACACACACACACATACCCACAGACACACAGAGAAAGAGACACAGACAGACACAGACACACAAAGACAGATACACAGACACAGGCAGAGACACACATACATACACAAGATACAACAGAAGAATTTTATTTGCCATTTGCAGTAAAACCACTTTGGAAAAACTGTGCAAGACTGCCCCAGTGTGTACCAAACAGAGAAGCCGGCACACACCAGAGCTCTTGCCACGGCGCCATCTTTACGGCGCCGTGGCAAGATGGAGCACAGACCATTCTCCTGCGATTCTCCTACAAACACAGAGAAAGAGACAAAGACACACAGAGACACAGACACACCAAGACACAGACACACACACATATATATATATACCACAATATTGGTTCTGTGGCGGTGCAGAACATACCGAGCTGAATCTCGGTTCCACTTCACGTCTGTGTTTTTATTTACACGTTTCTGCGTAAAAAGTTTTTGTTAATATCACGATGTTGTCTCAAAATACTTCACGCGCACAAAATAAAAAAAGAGGTAAAAAGCAGTTTGGTTTGGTCTGGAGAGTTTTGCCTACTGTAGATGTTTTTAGTGGTAGGGGAAACCGGAGCACCTGGAGGGAACCTATGCGTACATACAATACACGGGGAGAACATGCAAAATCCACACAGAAAGGACCTGTTCCGACTGGGATTCAAACAAGTTCAACCTTTACTGACAACTTTGCACTTCTCTTCCTTGTCCAGCTGGCAGCATGTACAGAGAAAAGGGGGCGGGGCCTAAGACACTTACAGCCGTGTGATTGGAGGAGAACGGTCTGTGCTCCCGCTCCCTCAGGTTTTGTCGATGCTTCTGATAAACTGCGAGTCTTTCCCGCTGCTTCCTCCTCATCCAACCCTTGAGCTCTTGCCTGTCGTTCTGGGGCTGATCACGTCGTTTCCACATTTGTGCCTTTTCCTCCACTTCCTGCCTACGGAAAAACAAAACCGGTAAAAACACACAGCGATAGCAACAGACGTGTTTCCAAGTAACACAAACCTGCTCTGGTCTGTTGTGTTGAAGTCCAGGTCAGACGGAGACAGAAACCCTTCTCGCACCAACTGCTCTAGGATTTCAGCGGTGTCACATAGTCCCGCCTCCTCTAGGGTTTCGTCGCCCAAACTACAGGAAAAGTAAGTAAGAAAATATCACAGGTGCCCAGAGTCAGGACTGAACAGGAGGAGGCGGAGATTCGGGTTTATCCAGTTATAATATGGAACTATCTTAAAAAACTAACTCATGCTCATGAAAAAAGTTTGAAATAAATTTTGGTCTCTCTCTCTCTCTCTCTCTGGCATCTCTCCCTCTGGCCTCTCTCTCTCTGGCCTCTCTCTCTGGCCTCTCTCTCTCTGGCCTCTCTCTCTCTGGCCTCTCTCTCTCTCTAGCCTCTCTCTCTCTCTGGCCCCCCTCTCTCTATGGCCTCTTTCTCTATGGCCTCTCTCTCCATGGCCTCTCTCTCCATGGCCTCTCTCTCCATGGTCTCTCTCTCCATGGCCTCTCTCTCCATGGTCTCTCTCTCCATGGTCTCTCTCTCCATGGTCTCTCTCTCCATGGTCTCTTTCTCCATGGTCTCTCTCTCCATGGCCTCTCTCTCCATGGTCTCTCTCTCCATGGTCTCTCTCTCCATGGTCTCTCTCTCCATGGTCTCCCTCTCCATGGTCTCTCTCGCTTCGGCCTCTCTCTCTATGGCCTCTCTCTCTATGGCCTCTCTCTTTCTCCCTATGGCCTCTCTCTTTCTCTCTCTGGTCTCTCTTTTTCTCTCTATGGCCTTTCTCTCTCTCTGGCCTCTCTCTGGCCTCTCCCTGGCCTCTCCCTGGCCTCTCTCTGGCCTCTCTCTGGCCTCTCTCTGGCCTCTCTCTGGCCTCTCTCTGGCCTCTCTCTGGCCTCTCTCTGGCCTCTCTCTGGCCTCTCTCTGGCCTCTCTCTGGCCTCTCGCTCTCTGGTCTCTCTCTCTCTGGTCTCTCTCTCTCTGGTCTCTCTCTCTCTGGTCTCTCTCTCTCTGGTCTCTCTCTCTCTGGTCTCTCTCTCTCTGGTCTCTCTCTCTCTCTCTGGTCTCTCTCTCTCTCTGGTCTCTCTCTCTCTGGTCTCTCTCTCTCTGGTCTCTCTCTCTCTGGTCTCTCTCTCTCTCTGGTCTCTCTCTCTCTGGTCTCTCTCTCTCTGGTCTCTCTCTCTCTGGTCTCTCTCTCTCTGGTCTCTCTCTCTCTGGTCTCTCTCTGGTGTCTCTCTCTCTCTGGTCTCTCTCTCTCTCTGGTCTCTCTCTCTCTGGTCTCTCTCTCTCTGGTCTCTCTCTCTCTGGTCTCTCTCTCTCTGGTCTCTGTGTTCCCTCTCTGACAACATGTAACACCCTTTCTGTTGTCTCTGTGTGTATCTTCTAACTATTTAGCATCATTACTTGTCCTCTTTTTTATCTATTTGGTTCATTCTGAATATATGAAGCCACTAGTCTCTCATTATAACACTTTTCTTAATCAGTGAACGCATGAAGCTTCTGTACAAATGAACAGAAATAGATAAATCTCTTACAGATCAGAGAGATTGGAGAGTTCAGATGTGTCCTGGAGTCTCCCTGTGAAGACCACATGAGTGAGTGACAGTGAAAGAGTCCGAGATGATTCTTTACTTGATGGAGTTTGAGAAGGACCTGCTGTTTGAGGACGACTCGCCTCACTCGGACTCAGCTCTGGTTTCGTACCATGTGGCAGTGTCGTACCATGTGGCGGTGTCTGCCCTGTTTCACGGTCAAATAAACAGACGGTTATAGAACTCACTGGATCATAGTTACTAAACCTAAACCAAAGGCATAAGTCCACTCTCTGCTCTGACAAAAGCCCGAATCACATACAAAAAACTCCTGTGTATTTCCCATAGACTGTATACAGAGGGACAATGCTAACCCGCTAGCTCCATGAAGCCTATGGGGAAGTGCTCATGATGAAGTTTGGGTCCAACTCTCTGACTCCTATTGACTTTGTATAAAAGCTCAGTAACTGTTTGTGTCATACAGAACTGACCGATCAAAAGGGAAACTCCAGCTTCTTTTAGCAACACGTCTATAAGGAAAATGGCTCCAGCTTATGTTCAAATCATTCTCTCTTGCAGCAGACCAACTTTGTGGTGATGTCAGACTTTGTCAGTTCACCCCTAACATAAGTAATATGGTGTTTCCTTGTGTATTCTGTTCTTTTTGTCTTATTGTTTTCACATAAACATGAACCACAGCTGATAAAGCTGTGTCCAAGCTGCAGGGTTTAAAGGACTCAAATCAAGTTTTGTGTTTTAGTCCAGACATTACAGAAACATAAAAGAGAAGTTTAAATACTACATCATTAGCACTTACTTTCAAGAGGAGCAAATAGTCGCACCGTCTTCTTCACTCCTGTGCTCGGCTTCTTTTCAGAGGTAGAGACGTGTGTGAGGTTTCCCGCAGAGTTCACCAACTGATGGAGAAGAAGAGAAACACAACACAGTAACACAACCTAATCTCGACAGAACTGTGATTAAACAGTCACCATTCTCGACTTGGAGAGGTCTGACTCCAGAGAGTCTGCTACACGCTGCAGACTGGTCAGCTGAGAGTCCAGCTGGGACATCTGTGAGGAGAACCAGACTGTGGGCTGTGAGGAGGTCTCACTGCGGCTGAGGAGGGGCAGTGTCCTTATGGTTCTGGTGATTTCTGTTGACGATTCTGCAGCTGAATCTTCTCCATGAACCTCCAACACCAACGGATGGTGCGACACAGACGCTTCACTGTGGATTTCTATGAGCAAAGAAAACATAATAAGTGGAGAAACAGTTATAAGTTGTTTTCCGGGTAGCCCAGAAATTTAGCCTGTAGTAATGTGAGTGGCCCCTGTGCCCGAGGGTGGGACAGCTGTAAGCTAGTAATATCCTGCCCACACACGCTAGCCTTCTGCATTCTGGTCACTGCTACAGGAGTCCCTAGGCCAGGACCAGGGCCAGAACCGAGACCAGGACCAGGACCAGGCCAAAGACCAGCGATGTATGCATGTGAAGTATATGTGACTGTTTAGTAAATATTATATCTGGTTAGATGCTAAACTGCATTGTTCTGACTTTGCATTGACATTAACATTAAGTCTATTTTAATTCATGCATAAGTTCTTGCTTCCTAACTATAATAATAACTAGAAACTTGCAATGGCTGAAGCCATTGCGATTGACTGCGGAACAGATCTAATGTGGAAATCTGCTAAAAAAATCCTTGAAATCCTTTAAAAGGCCTTGAAACTGTTAAAATACTTGATAGATATTTGAAACTCCTGAAGTCCTTGAAATTGTTGAAACCTTTAAACTCCTGAAATCCTTGAAACTGTTGAAACATTGAAACTCCTGAAATCCTTGAAACTTTTTTAAACCTGGAAACTGTTGAAAGTGTGGAAACTCCTGAAATCCTTGAACCTCCTGATATCCTTGAAACTGGTTAAATTCTTAAACAGTTGAAATCCTTGAAACTACTGAATGTATTGAAAGTGTCCTTGAAACTGAAAAATCCCCTCACCGCTGAAACAATTTGGTTCCTGTAACTAAGGAAACCTGGTCTGTGGTCATTATCTGGTGGTGGTCTGAGTCTTCGTTTGGGTCTTGGTCTGGTGGTATAATGCAACCTATTAGGTTGCATTATACTGGTTTACATGGAAAAATCCCTATTAGGTTGCATTATACTGGTTTACATGGAAAAATCCCTATTAAGTTGCATTATACTGGTTTACATGGAAAAATCTCTATTAAGTTGCATTATACTGGTTTACATGGAAAAATCCCTATTAGGTTGCATTATACTGGTTTACATGTACAAATCCCTATTAAGTTGCTTTATACTGGTTTACATGTAAAAACCCCTATTAGGTTACATTATAGTGGTTTACATGTAAAAATCCTTATTAAGTTGCATTATACTGGTTTACATGTAAAAACCCCTATTAAGTTCCATTATACTGGTTTACATGTAAAAACCCTATTAAGTTGCATTATACTGGTTTACATGAAAAAAACCCTATTAAGTTGCATTATACTGGTTTACATGGAAAAATCCCTATTAAGTTGCATTATACTGGTTTACATGGAAAAATCCCTATTAAGTTGCATTATACTGGTTTACATGGAAAAAACCCTATTAAGTTCCATTATACTGGTTTACATGTAAAAAAAACCCTATTAAGTTGCATTATACTGGTTTACATGGAAAAATCCCCATTAAGTTGCATTATACTGGTTTACATGAAAAAAAACCCTATTAAGTTGCATTATACTGGTTTACATGAAAAAAACCTATTAAGTTGCATTATACTGGTTTACATGGAAAAATCCCTATTAAGTTGCATAATACTGGTTTACATGGAAAAATCCCCATTAAGTTGCATTATACTGGTTTACATGAAAAAAACCCTATTAAGTTGCATTATACTGGTTTACATGGAAAAATCCCCATTAAGTTGCATTATACTGGTTTACATGAAAAAAACCCTATTAAGTTGCATTATACTGGTTTACATGGAAAAATCCCTATTAAGTTGCATTATACTGGTTTACATGTAAAAAACCCTATTAAGTTGCATTATACTGGTTTACATGTAAAAACCCCTATTAAGTTGCATTATACTGGTTTACATGGAAAAATCCCCATTAAGTTGCATTATACTGGTTTACATGAAAAAAACCCTATTAAGTTGCATTATACTGGTTTACATGAAAAAACCCTATTAAGTTGCATTATACTGGTTTACATGGAAAAATCCCTATTAAGTTGCATTATACTGGTTTACATGGAAAAATCCCTATTAAGTTGCATTATACTGGTTTACATGGAAAAATCCCTATTAAGTTGCATTATACTGGTGTACATGGAAAAATCCCTATTAAGTTGCATTGTACTGGTTTACATGGAAAAATCCCTATTAGGTTGCATTATACTGGTTTACATGGAAAAATCCCTATTAGGTTGCATGATTACACTGAAGTCCTTGAAACTGTTGAAACCTTGAAACTGTTGAAACCTTGAAACTGTTGAAGTCCTTGAAACTGTTGAAACCTTGAAACTGTTGAAGTCCTTGAAACTGTTGAAGTCCTTGAAACTGTTGAAACCTTGAAACTGTTGAAACCTTGAAACTGTTGAAACCTTGAAACTGTTGAAACCTTGAAACTGTTGAAACCTTGAAACTGTTGAAACCTTGAAACTGTTGAAACCTTGAAACTGTTGAAACCTTGAAACTGTTGAAACCTTGAAACTGTTGAAACCTTGAAACTGTTGAAACCTTGAAACTGTGGAAACCTTGAAACTGTTGATGTCCTTGAAACTGCTGAAGTCCTTGAAACTGCTGAAGTCCTTGAAACTGCTGAAGTCCTTGAAACTGCTGAAGTCCTTGAAACTGTTGAAGTCCTTGAAACTGTTGAAGTCCTTGAAACTCTTGAAATCTTGAAACTGCTGAAGTCCTTGAAACTGTTGAATCCTTGAAACTGTTGAATCCTTGAAACTGTTGAATCATTGAAACTGTAGAAATGTCTGAAAGAGCTGAAGTCCTATTAAAATGCATGGGCCTATTAAAATGCATTGCAGAATTCTCAATGCAAATTAATGGCAGAATTCCCAAGCCCGTAGAAAAAAACTGGAAAACTGCAGAACTCTATTTTTTTCTGAAAACTCACAAGTTGTGGAAGCTGAACATGCACAAACTGCAGAAAATGCTGAAAATGTTGAAGAAAATTCTGAAAACTATGAATTTGTGGAAGCCCCATTATAAGTCAATGGGAAAAATCGACCGATTTTTGTCCGATTGCGGAAAAACCGGAAATCGCTGAAGTCCCAAAAGTAATAGCAATAATCTCCCAAACATGTGGAACGTTTTGATGTATAACTTGTGGAAATTGTTGAAAATGTGAAAGCTGTGAAACGTGTCAAAAATCAGGAAAAAGACGGAATAATAACTAGAAACTTGCAATGGCTGAAGCCATTGCGATTGACTGCGGAACAGATCTAATGTGGAATTTAGCTGAAAAATCCTTGAAATCCTTGAAACTGTTAAAATACTTTAAACATCTTTGAAACTCCTGAAGTATTTGAAGCTCCTGATATCCTTTAAACTGTTATCCTTTATACTGGTTTACATGTAAAAACCCCTATTAAGTTGCATTATACTGGTTTACATGGAAAAATCCCCATTAAGTTGCATTATACTGGTTTACATGTAAAAAACCCTATTAAGTTGCATTATACTGGTTTACATGGAAAAATCCCTATTAAGTTGCATTATACTGGTTTACATGTAAAAATCCCTATTAAGTTGCATTATACTGGTTTACATGTAAAAACCCCTATTAAGTTCCATTATACTGGTTTACATGTAAAAACCCCTATTAAGTTCCATTATACTGGTTTACATGTAAAAACCCTATTAAGTTCCATTATACTGGTTTACATGTAAAAAAAAACCCTATTAAGTTGCATTATACTGGTTTACATGTAAAAACCCATATTAAGTTGCATTATACTGGTTTACATGGAAAAATCCCCATTAAGTTGCATTATACTGGTTTACATGAAAAAAACCCTATTAAGTGGCATTATACTGGTTTACATGAAAAAAACCCTATTAAGTTGCATTATACTGGTTTACATGGAAAAATCCCTATTAAGTTGCATTATACTGGTTTACATGGAAAAATCCCTATTAAGTTGCATTATACTGGTTTACATGGAAAAAACCCTATTAAGTTGCATTATACTGGTTTACATGTAAAAACCCTATTAAGTTGCATTATACTGGTTTACATGTAAAAACCCCTATTAAGTTGCATTATACTGGTTTACATGGAAAAATCCCCATTAAGTTGCATTATACTGGTTTACATGTAAAAACCCCTATTAAGTTGCATTATACTGGTTTACATGGAAAAATCCCTATTAGGTTGCATTATACTGGTTTACATGGAAAAATCCCCATTAAGTTGCATTATACTGGTTTACATGTAAAAACCCCTATTAAGTTCCATTATACTGGTTTACATGTAAAAACCCTATTAAGTTCCATTATACTGGTTTACATGTAAAAAAAAACCCTATTAAGTTGCATTATACTGGTTTACATGTAAAAACCCATATTTAGTTGCATTATACTGGTTTACATGGAAAAATCCCCATTAAGTTGCATTATACTGGTTTACATGAAAAAAACCCTATTAAGTTGCATTATACTGGTTTACATGAAAAAAACCCTATTAAGTTGCATTATACTGGTTTACATGGAAAAATCCCTATTAAGTTGCATTATACTGGTTTACATGGAAAAATCCCTATTAAGTTGCATTATACTGGTTTACATGGAAAAAACCCTATTAAGTTGCATTATACTGGTTTACATGTAAAAATCCTATTAAGTTACATGTAAACCAGTATAATGCAACTTAATAGGGTTTTTACATGTAAACCAGTATAATGCAAAAACCCCTATTAAGTTGCATTATACTGGTTTACATGGAAAAATCCCCATTAAGTTGCATTATACTGGTTTACATGTAAAAACCCCTATTAAGTTGCATTATACTGGTTTACATGGAAAAATCCCTATTAGGTTGCATGATTACACTGAAGTCCTTGAAACTGGTGAAGTCCTTGAAACTGTTGAAGTCCTTGAAACTGTTGAAGTCCTTGAAACTCTTGAAACCTTGAAACTGCTGAAGTCCTTGAAACTGTTGAATCATTGAAACTGTTGAATCATTGAAACTGTTGAATCATTGAAACTGTAGAAATGTCTGAAAGAGCTGAAGTCCTATTAAAATGCATGGGCCTATTAAAATGCATTGCAGAATTCTCAATGCAAATTAATGGCAGAATTCCCAAGTCCCGTAGAAAAAAACTGGAAAACTGCAGAACTCTATTTTTTTCTGAAAACTCACAAGTTGTGGAAGCTGAACATGCACAAACTGCAGAAAATGCTGAAAATGTTGAAGAAAATTCTGAAAACTATGAATTTGTGGAAGCCCCATTATAAGTCAATGGGAAAAATCGACCGATTTTTTGTCCGATTGCGGAAAAACCGGAAATCGCTGAAGTCCCAAAAGTAATAGCAATAATCTCCCAAACATGTGGAACGTTTTGATGTATAACTTGTGGAAATTGTTGAAAATGTGAAAGCTGTGAAACGTGTCAAAAATCAGGAAAAAGACGGAATAAAGAAAACCAAAACCAATGGTTGACTGCGGAAGGTTCCGCAGTCAATCAATAAAGAACGTGAAAACCAATGGTTGACTGCGGAAGGTTCCGCAGTCAATCAATAATAAAAATTGGTTTTATGCAGCACTTCTTGATGATTGTAAATCTGCAGATGTGACAGTGACAGGACTGGCCCGATGTCTGGGCCAGTCCTGTCTGTTTGGGTTGTTAAGAAAGCTCGTCAGCGGCTCTTCTTTTTGCGGAAACTTAGAGAATTTTCCAATAACTCTAAGATTCTGCTTAACTTTTATCGCTGCACCATTGAGAGTTTACTTGTTGGTTCTGTGTCTGTGTGGTTTGGAAACATCACAGATAAAGAAAAGAGAGCTTTAAACAAGGTGCTCCGCTCTGCAAAGAGGACCGTGGGCTGTGAGCTTCCTGTTCTGGAGGTTCCTGTTCTGGGCGGCACGGAGGTTCCTGTTCTGGGCGGCACGGTGGCTGAGTGGATAGCACTCTTGCCTCTCAGCAAGAAGGTCCTGGGTTCAAATCCCGGTCGGACCAGGGCCTTTCTGAGTGGAGTTTGCATGTTCTCCCCGTGTCTGCGTAGGTTTCCTCCGGGTACTCCGGTTTCCCCTACCACTAAAAATATGCACAATAGGTCTGGCATGCGCCTCCTGTTCGGCGACCCTGCTCCCATCTCTGTGTGGAGTGAGAGGACAAGTGCCCAAAAAAATAATAACAATTGTAAACCGCTTTGTGACCCTTGTCTGTGAAAGGCGGTATATAAATAAACATTACTTACTTACTTACTTCTTTATAAATCCAGACTTTTAAACCGTGCTCTTAAAATCATCAATGACTCTTCTGGCCATCCTGGGTAAGCCATGTTCCAGCTTCTTCCCACGGGCAGAAGATATCGGTCGCTGAGATGCAAGACATCTCGCTATGCTAACATCTTCTTTCCACAAGCTGTTAGGTGCCTAAACAGAGCACTCTAATTCCTGCTTTTACCCCTTGTATCGTTTTTGTTGATCGATGCCACAGTGTCAGCTGTTTTTTTTTATTCTTATATTTTCAGTGTATGTGTATTTTATATTACATTGTATCGTGCTCTTTATTCTGTCGGTGCACACAGAGTACCTTTTTTGCAAATGTATTCCAATGTAGTTTTTATACTGCACATGGCTAATAAAATGAATCTGAATTATCTGAATGTCTGGATCTCCACCTGGTGTGGTGCTTCGGGCGTGAATCGTGTCCTTGGTTTGAGAATCAGCAGCGTTCTGAAGCACTCTGGTCGCTCTGACGTGAAGCTCGGCTGTGGTGGCGTCAGTGCAGAGAGCAGACCGGAGACTCGGACACAGAGGCAGATCCTGGTGTCGAGACTCATCCTCGAGATCCACGACGCTGACAAACTGACGCCCATCGAGATCCTGGACAGTAACAGTGAGTGTCACATGTCATAAGTAATAAATGCACAATCCCAGAGCCTTCTTACAAGATTGGTGGTCTTCGTCAGCTGATCCCGAACAGGAGATTTGGGGGCCGTGTGCTGCTCACTCAGACCTTGGGCTTAAAAGGGCAAGGCAAGTTTATTGGAAAAGCAGAGTTCAAAAACATAAATATAAATTTGAAGTCGAATATCCCAAATATTTTTGAAATTATGTACTTAGGGATAGTAGGAAGTTTAAATTTGAAGGGGTGAAGAATATAAACTTTTAAGGATCATGCTATTGGCTTGTAAAAAGACATTGACTAGAAAATGGCGAAGTGATCGGGTACCTAAAGTAGATGATTGAGTAGAGGAAATATGTATGCAAAATGTATACATGTACGTGGGTATATGTATTTGTACAGTATATGTGCGTAAGCAAGAGCATATTTGTCCATTTATGTTTTTTACATTGTATTTATTATTTATTTTACAGGTAGCTAATATCTCTTTAAGTAAACATTAAAAAGAGTAGAAATACAATCCTTCAATTGTTGCAGCTAAATTGAACTGTTTGAACCTGTATTTGAACGAAAAAGGAAAGTGGCATTTTTTTCACATATAAATAAGTTGACTCTAAACCAGGGAGACAGTGTTCACTTACGTTCTGTTCCCACGTCAGAAGAAACTACTTCTTCATGAAGAGATGGATCTTCAGAAGCAGAAACAGACTCATGAGATCAAACACAGAAGGTAAAGACGGCGAAGCAGATGTGGAGAGTTCTCCTCACCTGGATCTGTGTTGGTGAAAGCATCGTGAGTTTGAGGAGGGCTCCTACACGTCAATGCAAACACATGCAGCTCTGCAGAGGTGGAAGAATACTTCTCCAATAACTCTGCTCCAGACAGAAGAGGCTCTGGAACCACACAGACACAGAGACAAAGAGACAAAGAGAACGCAGAGAAGACGTCAGTCACACTGCAGCCGTGATCAGGACACAGTTTATAAAAATAATAATATATGAGTTTTATAAAGCTCTTTTCTGAACACTCAGTCTCTTCACATCATTATTCATTCACGGCATACACAGTGGTGATAAACTACTACTGTACAGAAGCGGGCGACCAGTTGGTGCCATCAGCCCCTCCCACCATTACCAACCATTCACACACACACACCAAACTCATTCTGGGTGAGTGGGTGAGGTGTCTTGCCTAAGGACACGATAATTTACACCTGGAGGCACCCCACTGTATCCCATCACTATACTAACCAGGCCCTGCCCTGCTGAGCTTCAGTGGTCTCCCATCACACTAACCAGGCCCTTATATATAATCATGAGCAGAATTTATGTTATATTGTAAGTACGTTTGCTGCCCCCTGGTGGAGAGGGATGGTCCTGCTCGGTCTCAGATCTGAGTTGGTCTCTCTGTGGATCGTCTGTCGCCTACAAACACAAGAGCATTATTGAACAGAGCAGTTGTGGATGATTCATAATCAGTGAAACACAAACCTCTTGTGGGATAATGGAATCGTTTGGACGGAATGTCACCTCAGTCTCTTCTTTCCTCAGTTTCTCTCTTCTCTTCTGTCTATAAAAACAAATGACAAAATATGGAAAAAGAGCAACAATTTAGTCAGAAGAAAACAGCATATAATCTCTGTTTTATTCTTGTACTTTTACCCTGGGAATTTTGCACATGTATAATAAACTGACTCTGACCTCTTTACTGAGTCGTGATGAACTGAGTCTCTTTGAGAGTCGTCCTTCAGCAGCTGCAGCTGAGGACTGGTCTGACCGGACATCCATGAGGCGGCTGGAGGAGGCAGAGTCTGACCGAGAAACACACGGAAAAAAACACAGTTAATGTTTAGAAAATACATACTTTGGGATTCCAATCTTTGGTAACACATTATATTAGCCCTCACTACTCACCAGCTAATTAAGTGCTAAACAGCTTTCCCCAGACCTAACCCTAGTCCTAACCCTATAGCCCAAACCCTAGTCCTAACCCTATAGCCCTAACCCTAGCCCAAACTCTAACCCGATAACCCTTACCCTATAGCCCAAGCCATCGTATTAACCCACATAGGAGAGTGTCCGTTATCAGTAAGTTAGATGTTGAGTTAGGCCATGTAGAATAAAGACTAATATGTGCTTAATAATCACCAATTAATGCTAATTAACCACGCATTATAGACTAACTAGCACTAAATTAGCTGTAGACTAGTGAGGGCTAAACTAAAGACCCAGCCATTTACCATTTTAGGAGCAGGTTCTATCTGCAGCAGTTTTATCCTCGGCATTTCTCTCACTGTCGCTGCACTGAACACGTGGGGTTTTGTGAATGGCTTGGTGTGTGGGTGTGTGTGTGTCTGTGCGTGTGTGTGTGTCTGTGCTTTTGTGTGTGTCTGTACATGTGTGTGAGGGTGTGTTTGTATCTTAGGGAGGCTCCAGATGCTGCTGGACACAGGGCGGACATGCAGCAGCTTCAGTCCTTGTGGAGTTGAATCTGTCCAAACAGGGACCGCAGCCGGAGGAAGGACGAGAGCATCGAGGTCTTTGAATCTCATTGGGTTTGACGGAGAACTCACAGGAGCAGGTCTCTCTCTCTGTTGGGCCTGAACCGAGAGATCCACCTGTTCTCTCATGGTCTGGTCGCTACGTTTGAACATAGAAGAGTTCGGTTGATGCTGGGGGTAACTTTGCTGTAACTGAGGTCCTCTCTGGGAAACATGGACTGGAGACTGAGGCGGACGGAGCTGAAGCAACCTTAGCCCAGAGAGAGCGAGAGAGAGGGGGACTGGGTCGTGGTTTGCGGGAGGTACAATAACGGCTTCATGAACTCTGTGTGTGATTTCAGCCGTGGTTAAAAGCCCTTCAGAAAACGGTATTAGATTGTTTTGCGACTTCCGCACAGGTGATCCGGCTTGAATGTAAAGCTGAGCCATCTCTCGAGTGCCAGTCACCACAGAGGCGTTGGAGTAGGCCACGGACGGAGTGCTGGGGGGGTTCCTGTGGACGCCATGTTGGATCTCTGTAGAGTTGAAGGTAACCTGCTCTGGAGGGTGTGGTTGACTGTGAGAAGGGGGGAAAGGTGGTGCAGTTGGGGGAGGAGGGATATTTAACCCTGATGTATTTAAATTGGATTGGGCCAAAGAGGCGTTCTGCTGCTGCACAAGTTGTAGATTAGAAAACGAGGCTCCCAGAACTTCCATCAGGCTCACGTAGTTAATGTTCTGGAAGCACAAGACGACGACAACAAGTTGCATTAAATAGTCACAAAATAACACTTAAATAACATACAAATAATAATGAACCATGAAAGAAAGCAAGAAGGGGGCGTGCTGGTTTTTATGCATATTTTGGATGGTTTGGGCAACACCGCGGCGCAGTGGATAGCACTTATGCTCCACAGCAAGAAGGTACTGGGTTTGAGACCACCTCCAGGCCTTTCTGTTTGGAGTTTGCATGTTCTCCCTGTGTCTACGTAAGTTCTCTCTGGGTGCTCCGGTGTTCCCTACCACTAAAAACAAGGATAATAGGTCTGGCATGTGTGGCTATCCCACTCTCATGTGTGGAGTGAGAGACAAGTTCTCACAACAATTGTAAAGCCTGACTCTGGTCTGTGAAATGCGCTATATGAATAAATATGACTTACTTATACAGTATATGTTGGTTACAGTTATTGTTGGATGGTACCATACAAATATACACCGTATCAATGTAGTTATTGATGTTTGTCCAAGTGTGAGGGCTTGGTTTTATTTTGTTCCTGTCTGTATGATGTTGTTGTCGTCCTTGTTGTTGTGTTGCATGGTGTGTGTCTCATGTTCTTTGTGGTGCATGGAAAAGACAAGAGTGCGAGCATCTGTCTGGTGTTGGTCCATCTCTTTCCTGTTTCATTCCTTCATGACATGAGAATCTTACCTGAACCAATCGGTACAAGTCTGCCCCCAGTCTCTGTCTCATCTGTGGGGTCTGAGCATCAGAAGGACCCCAAGGCCCTGAAGGAGCAGCAGGTGAAGGCCCCAAGTGTGCTGCATCTGGACCAGAACTTGAGGACTGCAGATTTGGACAACCATCATCAACAACTCTCTCATCTGTGACCATGTGGGGAGGACTCTTTGGCTTCCTGAAACACAGACAGGAAATCACATAGACTGACACAATCTTGTTTAAAGTGCAGTTGTTTTAATTTACTTACAAAATTGCAGACGTTGTATGATTCGGAGAAATGTGAAGATCTTCAAGCTTAAAACTCTGGGGAAAAAAGAGAAATACTGTGGGCCCTGATTTATGGCAGTGGAGAGAAACAACAGATAGAGACCAGTGAGAGAGACCAGTGAAAGAGACCAGAGAAAGAGACCCGAGAGAGAGACGAGACCAGAGAGAGAAACCAGAGAAAGAGATAAAAAAGAGAGACCCAAGAGAGAGACCAGAGAAAGATACCAGAGAAAAAGACCATAAAGAGAGAGCAGAGAAAGAGACCAGAGAAAGAGAGACCAGAGAAAGAGACCAGAGAAAGAGACCAGAGAGAGAGACCAGAGAAGGAGACCAGAGAGAGAGACCAGAGAGAGACCAGAGAGAGGGACCAGAGAAAGAGAGAGCAGAGAAAAAGACCAGAGAAAGAGAGACCAGAGAAGGAGACCAGAGAGAGAGAGACCAATGTGGAAGTTTCCCTACAGCTCCGGGAGTATCAGCGTCACTAGAAGTGGAAGAAAATCTGTCTGTGTCTATAAATCACACAAACAAAGAGTTAAACAAAGTTTCACATTAACTTAATTTCTACAACATACATGAGACATACCATCTACATCTGGTGTAAGATTCACATGTTCAGGAAGTGAGGGTGATGCTCTTGAGGTAGAATCTGGATGAGGAGGATCTGGTGCATGTGCTCGATGGTCTCTACAAGAACCACCAGGGGGAAACAAATTAGGATTATCGGGTTAGAGACTCCTCAGTTCAGAGAGACCAGAGAGAGACCAGAGAGAGACCAGAGAGAGGCCAGAGAGAGACAGAGAGAGACCAGAGAGAGACCAGAGAGCGACCAGAGAGAGACCAGAGACATACTCGAGAGAGACCCGAGAGAGACCCGAGAGAGGCCAGGGAGACCAGCGAGAGACCAGAGAGAGAGATCAGGTAAAGAGACCTGAGAGAGATCAGAAAGAGAACAGATAGAGAGACCAGAAAGAGTCCTATATCTACCTGTATATACTGTACCTACCTATCTATCCATTTTTCTTATATCACACTGAACAAATACTGTAAAACTGAAAACTTACTCAAAAATTGTCTCTATAGTTGATCGCAGAGCTGTAGTTGTAGTATTGGAGTGAGGAGCTGTAGTATCGGAGTGAAGGACTGCAGCTGTAGCATCGGAGTGAAGAGCTGCAGCTGTAGCATCGGAGTGAAGAGCTGCAGCTGTAGTATCGGAGTGAAGAGCTGCAGCTGTAGCATCGGAGTGAAGAGCTGCAGCTGTAGCATCGGAGTGAAGAGCTGCAGCTGTAGTATCGGAGTGAAGAGCTGCAGCTGTAGTATCCGAGTGAAGAGCTGGAGCTCTAGTATTGGAGTGAAGAGCTGCAGCTGTAGTATTAGTCCGCACTGGAGAGCCTGTATTGCTGCTGCTTCCCTGTTCCACTTTCTGTCCTGTCCGTATCTGCAGCACCGGAGCCACGACCCACTGTGTTTGTGGTCGATGCCCCTGAGTCCTGTTCAGATCCGTCCCGATCCGAGTATCCGAGTATCTCTGCTCCATCAACCAGAGCGACGTGAGGACCGCCGGCGTCGTGGCTTTGAGGCGCAGGACCACTCCGTCGGCGTTCGTTTCTCCTCGACTCTTCCCCAGAGGTCGCCTTCTATCCGCCCAGCGCATCATCCACTCCAGCAGCCGGCCCAGCTCCGGGAAGCGAGCCTCGAACTCAGCGTTTAGATCCTGCAGCAGCTCCACCACAGGCACCACGGAGCAGAACCTCAGGCTCTCAGTGGTTCTCACGGGACTGGACCCAGAACCTGTTTGTGAACGTTCTCTCCGTCTCTTCAAACGACTGAACAAACCTTTGTGTGAGCTCGCTGCTGTAGCCAGAGGAGCTAATGCAGAAGATGAGTTTCTTAGTAAAGACTGGCTACACACAGCTGAGTTCAGTGATGCATCTTGGGTAATGGGCCTGAAGCAAGAACCTGCCCTGAAAAAGCAATGCTCGGAGTTCTTCCCTCTGCGTTCTGGTGGGTGCCCATCTCTCTGACGTCGATTCAAAGTCGTTAAAACGTCGAAAGCTAAAGAGTGCAGCTCCTTTTCTCTCAGCTCGTGGGAGAAGTCTCTCAGCAGAGGGAACTCGTTAGTGTCCGGACTGTCCTTCTCCAAAAGGTAACCGAGGAAGAGCTCTAAGAAGTTCAAATACTCTTCATCCTCCAGCTCAAACTCCCAAGATCCAACAGGAGGGAGGGGACCTGGTTTTACAGCTGATCTGGCAACACCGGATGGGCGCTCTTTTTTAACCCGCTTTATGGTAGACTTCACATTTCTGCGGTCTCTGTCTCGTTTCTTAGACGTTTTTTTAGTCCTGAAAGAGAAGTTTAAATGAGAAAACAGGTTGCAATGGTTTTGTAAAGACGCAGCATTTGTCTTTGAACCTCAAACATGTGCAATAATGTCAGAATGTGCAATATGGGACGTCATAGTCACTTTAGCCCTGAGCCTCATCCTGCTAACATGTACAGCATTAGCATCACTGTGAATATTAGAAGCCACTGAGCTAATGAGAGTATTTCAGCTTTATCTATGAAAGTGGCCCAGTATTTTTACTCTTGTGTAGTGTTTTATGTGTGTTGTGTTGAATTTTGTAATGCCTGGAAATCACTTTATAACATTCATGTCTGTTTTTAAGAATGTGCTATATAAATACCCTTGACCTTGACCATGACCATGACACGGATTATATGTTTTATATTAAGTGTTTCCATAAAAGTGCTTTAAAATGATGTCTTGTCACATTAGCCTGAGGTCAAGGAGTTTAGTGCAAAACAATGGACAGCCTTGGAGTGTTCTTTTCAGAGGGCGAGGAGATGAGCTCGGACCAAACCAGACCCAGACCAGGCTCTTCGATTTTATCAAATATAACTTCCTCTTCTTCTACACACTTTGATAAAACTTGAACGACACTGTTAGTCAGTCAGAGGAGCTCAAAGGGAATCAACTGTTATTCATTTGAACTCTTGGTCAAATTCTAAATCATGCAACAAATGTCTACATACAATTATATATTTATTTGTTCATACTTAAGCTAAATTAAAAAATCTTTATATTTATGCTTACTCTATTTTTTTAGTATAGAGTTTTGCTGTACTTAATAGTAACTTATCTTGTACCTTTTCTGTAACATGTGATAAAACATTTCCTCACAGTGGGAAAAAATAGTCTTTGGTAAGATTTTATTTTAGCACTCACTAAGTAGCGGCAAAATAAGTGAAAAATAACCATATATCTATAAACTAATTAGCGCTTAAGTTGCTGTTAATTCATGAGCGCTAAAATAAAGTGTTCCAGAATCTTTTAACTTTAAAGATTATAAAAGGCTTTGGCCCCCCACCTGGATGTTTTGGTCTGTAGACGAGGGGAGACTGGAGGGCCTGGGGAGTCTGCGTCACTGAGCACAGGGACCAGGCCACAGTTGCTCATGGTGCTCGGGCTCAGATCTTTGGACCGGGACGTCCCATGTTTGCCTCGAGTCTCCTGCTGCTCCTCCTCCTCCGTCTCCTTTTGCCACAGGTGTGTTTCCAGCGGGAACAAGTGCCGCCGCAAACGACCAAAGTGTTTCCTCCGGAGTCTGAGTTTGTCCTGAATGAGAAGCATCATGGTCCTCCCGGGTTCCTCTCCGTCCTCTACAAGACGAGAGGTGTTTCTGTGTCAAAACCAGTGTGTTCAAATGTACTGAAGTCCACTGCATCGAGAGCAGAGGAGAGACCAGACAGAGACCAGAGAGAGAGACCAGAGAGTGAGACCAGAGAGAGACCAGAGAGAGGCCAGAGAGAGAGACCGGAGAGAGAGACCAGAGAGAGGCCAGAGAGAGAGACCAGAGAGTGAGACCAGAGAGAGACCAGAGAGAGGCCAGAGAGAGGCCAGAGAGAGACCGGAGAGAGAGACCAGAGAGAGAGACCGGCGAGAGAGACCGGAGAGAGACCGGAGAGAGAGGCCAGAGAGAGAGGCCAGAGAGAGATGCCAGAGAGAGGCCCGAGAGAGGCCAGAGAGAGGCCAGAGAGAGACCAGAGAGAGACCAGAGAGAGACCAGAGAGAGACCAGAGAGAGAGACCAGAGAGAGAGACCGGAGAGAGAGGCCAGAGAGAGAGACCGGAGAGAGAGACCGGAGAGAGAGACCAGAGAGAGGCCAGAGAGAGAGACCAGAGAGAGACCAGAGAGAGAGACCAGAGAGAGGCCAGAGAGAGACCGGAGAGAGAGACCAGAGAGAGAGACCAGAGAGAGAGACCGGAGAGAGAGACCGGAGAGAGGCCGGAGAGAGAGGCCAGAGAGAGAGGCCAGAGAGAGATGCCAGAGAGAGGCCAGAGAGAGGCCAGAGAGAGGCCAGAGAGAGACCAGAGAGAGACCAGAGAGAGACCAGAGAGAGACCAGAGAGAGAGACCAGAGAGACCAGAGAGAGGCCAGAGAGAGGCCAGAGAGAGAGACCGGAGAGAGAGACCGGAGAGAGAGACCGGAGAGAGAGGCCAGAGAGAGAGGCCAGAGAGAGAGGCCAGAGAGAGGCCAGAGAGAGACCAGAGAGAGACCAGAGAGACCAGAGAGAGGCCAGAGAGAGACCAGAGAGACCAGAGAGAGAGACCAGAGAGAGAGACCAGAGAGAGGCCAGAGAGAGGCCAGAGAGAGACCAGAGAGAGGCCAGAGAGAGACCAGAGAGAGAGACCAGAGAGAGAGACCAGAGAGAGGCCAGAGAGTGAGACCAGAGAGAGAGAGCAGAGAGAGAGACCAGAGAGTGAGACCAGAGAGTGAAACCAGAGAGTGAAACCAGAGAGAGAGACAAGAGAGAGACAAGAGAGAAAGGCCTGAGATAGGCCTCAGAGGGAGACTAGAGAGTGAGACCAGTAAGTGTCTCACTTACTGGTAGAGATAGAGACAAGAGAGAGACCAGAGAGACAAGAGAGAGACACTAGAAAGAGAGCCCAGAAAGACAGACCAGAATGAGAGACCAGAGAGAAACTACAGAAAGTGACCAGAGAGAGAGAGACCAGAAAGAAAAACCAGAGAGAGCCCAGAAAGATAGACCAGTGAGAAAAACCAGGAAGAAAGACTGGAGACTAGCGAGAGACCAGAGACTGTTATAACTGCATTTCTTGTGTTCGAACTGTTTGATTCTCTGATCTGTTGCTGCTGTAGTGATTAAGAACTATTCCACAAATACAAATTAATTGAATTGATTAAGCGGTGATTACCAACGACACTAGAGCCCGTTAAAGTCCGCAGGATCGTGTTGTACTTCCCTCTCAAAGAGACACGAACCGATTCCTCTTCCTTTGGGAAAGACAGCGCCAGAGTGTCTGCCACCTGCAACAAAGGAGAAGTGAGGGAAAGAAAACCCTCTAAAAATACAAATGAGTCCCCCGTACCAATGACACCGGAGGCAGCTCAGACAACAGACTGAGAATGGTGTCCTGAATGGTTTCTTCGCAGTTTAGGAACCGAGAAAAGGGGAGAAGCCGTCGAGCCCAGAGCAGAGCATCAGCAGCAGCAGCTCTCGACTCCACATCCTCCTGAGGCGACAACACAGAACGCAACAGTGAGCAAGACTGGATCGTTTTTGTTACTGTTTTTTATGCATTATATAGAAGCACATGACAGGTTTTCAAGACACTACATAACTTATCACAATTATGTCTCAAATTGTTGCAGTCCTGTCTCAAAAATGAAAAGGAGCTGAAAGAAGAATTTTAACAGAGTGTCTTATACAATTACGTTACTGACTTTGGTTTTTAAGACAAAAAAAATATTATTAGGTTATAGAGTTTATAAAATACAAGCTGGAGGATTTATTGGACGCTCTAGACGTGAGGAAGGAGGAGGAGAGGAGTTTTAGTAGGGACGTTTTTTTTCAAGTAGTAAGTAAGTAAGTAAGTTTGTAAGTTTTTATTTATATACCGCCTTTTCACTGCAGATCTGAGTCTCAAAGCGGTTTACAATTGTTAATTTTGGGCATTTGTCTCTCACTCCACACAGAGATGGGGGCGGGGCCAGTACAGGAGGCGCATGCCAGAACTATTGGACATATTTTTAGTGGTAGGGGAAACCGGAGCACCCGGAGGAAACCTACGCAGACACGGGGAGAACATGCAAACTCCACTCAGAAAGGCCCTGGTCCGACCGGGATTCGAACCCAGGACCTTCTTGCTGAGAGGCGAGAGTGCTATCCACTCAGCCACCGTGCCGCTGAGGGGTTGTAGGGTTGTACTGTACCTATAATTCACTTACTGTATATGCTGTCATCTTACGAAAATGTCTTTGGACTGTATTGTGCCTTTGTTTATAGGTAAAGCAGCTCGAAGGAGTCCTGGGTCTACAGCCTCAGTCCTGGGTCTACAGCCTCAGTCCTGGGTCTACAGCCTCAGTCCTGGGTCTACAGCCTCAGTCCTGGGTCTACAGCCTCAGTCCTGGGTCTACAGCCTCAGTCCTGGGTCTACAGCCTCAGTCCTGGGTCTACAGCCTCAGTCCTGGGTCTACAGCCTCAGTCCTGGGTCTACAACCTCAGTCCTGGGTCTACAACCTCAGTCCTGGGTCTACAACCTCAGTCCTGGGTCTACAACCTCAGTCCTGGGTCTACAGCCTCAGTACTGGGTCTACAGCCTCAGTCCTGGGTCCACAGCTCTGGCCCTGGGTCCACAGCCTCGGCCCTGGGTCCACAGCCTCGGTCCTGGGTCCACAGCCTCGGTCCTGGGTCCACACCCTCGGTCCTGGGTCTACACCCTCGGTCCTGGGTCTACACCCTCGGTCCTGGGTCTACACCCTCGGTCCTGGGTCTACACCCTCGGTCCTGGGTCTACACCCTCGGTCCTGGGTCTACAGCCTCAGTACTGGGTCTACAGCCTCAGTCCTGGGTCCACAGCTCTGGCCCTGGGTCCACAGCCTCGGCCCTGGGTCCACAGCCTCGGTCCTGGGTCTACACCCTCGGTCCTGGGTCTACACCCTCGGTCCTGGGTCTACACCCTCGGTCCTGGGTCTACAGCCTCGGTCCTGGGTCTACAGCCTCGGTCCTGGGTCTAAACCTGCACTACTATTGACAATTCTTTCTTGATTGCCACTTTCTAAACGCCACTTTTTTTGAACGTAATATATCCTGCATTAACATGTTGCACATTTCTTACTTTTTGCACAATTCTTGAGTGTTCCTATCCTTGCCAATGTGACATGTAAATGTCTCCTGTGTGAGATTAATAAAGTACATCTTATCTTATTTTATCAAGGTTTCACTTTTTTCCCATGTGTTTTTTATTCTTTGGCAATAGAGGAGGGTCTAAGCAAAGTGGTGATGATCCAGGACATTTATGGACATGGTCAGCTGCCCCTTTATGCACCAATGGCTCGACAGTGTATGGGTTTTTAACATTACATTTCCTGTGTATGACCGGTTTGATTCTTTGATCTGTGTTGGCGAATCGACAGCTTTGTAACTGCTGCTGGGATTTATGACAATACAATAATGAATTGAATTGAATTGAAAGAAAGTAGCTTATAGTCAGGTGCATCTAATAGTGCGAAAAACACGGTACTAAAAATGTTCAACCTGGTCGTCTCTGGTTTTCTGTCGCACCACCTGGTACTTCCTACAGGACAAGGAGAGCTGGTCCCTGACGTGGAGCATCCAGCAGAGACCACACAGCTCTCTGAAACAGTCTGTCGAACACAACACACATTTACAGATATAGTTATGAAAGTCCACATCAAGTCCATCACCACAGAGAGCGTACTCATGGTCTGGATTGTGCTCTGGTCCACGGTCTTTGTAGGTCCCCATTTGAAGTGCCCACTCCTGTTGAGGAACTTCAGGAGACCCTCTGGAAAGGACTTCTCTTCTTGACTTGCATCGGGACAGCAATATTTCTTCTTCATCTGAAAAAGAAATTCAAATTTTAAAATGAACTACTGTATGTACAGTACTTGGACTATAACCTGCGACAATTTTCAAGTTCTTTCAACTCTCTATCAGTTTTCAATCTCCAGAGCAGAGGATGTAGCACACATTCCTGCTTCCCAGCGTGTTTATGTGAACAGCAGAGAGCAAAATACAAACTTGTTTTTATGTAATTAGGGCTGTCAGACTGTCCTGGATTTACTGCCTCAGTCCTGGGTCTACAAGCCCGGGCCTGGACCTAGGGTCTCGGCCCTGGATCTACAACCTCGGTCCTGGATCTACAGCCTCGAGTCGATTCGCTAATTGGCGAATTATGCATGATTGGCGACCTGATGTGATTTATGCAATGCACAAATACATTGAAATGAATGAATGTGTGGCCAGTATTTAGACAAAATGCACTTTCTCTTCAAATGTTACTGGTGTGGTTTATAATCCATAAAGTACTGTACTATAATGTGAGATAAAGCCGTGTGTGAAATGCCTTGAACAGGACGTGTCTGGTCCGTCGCAGTTTGCTCAGATACCACTGTGCGGCTGAAGTGCAACAATTAGCAGCTCGCAGAAGCAGCAGTAACTTTTGAACGACTTCTGATATTTTGTGGCGAGAGGAAACTTCAGTGTGGTGCCCTAATGAGCCCGCTGGGTCCTAAACACAGGGGGAAAGTGTTAGCTTTAGTCAAGAGTCATATGAAACAAATGGTGAAGTAAATACACTAATCGCTATATGTCACTGTTGTGCACCTGAGTGTTTGGCGAGGGCTGGGGGCAGTAGAGGGGAGGAGCTGGGAGATACAGTTCTGTGGGAACCATCACGGTCAAACATGAACTTAGGTCTTTGGCTTTGTCCATAAGAAAAGATAAAGAAGAAGACACTGCATCCACTTGGGCCATAACAGACGCCTTCAGAATGTCCTGCACTGATCCATGCAGTACACCCCAGTCTTCTTCTCCCACAGGGTCTGAGTCAGACGCAGAAACACAAAACGAATAAGAAACATGGCTGCCATTTCCAACAATGAGTTTCATTCATTCAGCGATTGAGGTATATACTGTACATACAAAACACCCTAGACCAGTTAGGATCAGTTCATAAGATTATGATTATGGGGGACAACAGATTTGGATGTGATTGTTCAGTATGTGTGTGTGTGTGTGTGTGTGTGAATGGGGTCGCATACAGAAGGCAAATGTCAGACCTATTGTATATGTTTTTAGTGGTAGAGGACACACAAAGACCTGGAGGAAAACTATGCAAACACTGGAAGAACATGCAAACTCCACACAGAAAGGCCTAGAGGTGGAATCGAACCCAGGACGTTCTTGCTGTGAAGCTATAAGTGTGTATGCTTGGTGTACATGAATATAAGGTGGATTTTATGAATGACCTCCAGGAAATGGTGGTAATTGTGAGATACTAGTTTCATAATATACACCAAGTACAAAGACAAGTCTCCAGCTTCTCACCTGAAAAACTTTGGTTTGCATTTGTTCCTATTTGTTCCTTGGCGTCTCCGTTGCCTAAAAGACCAGTGAGTTCAGCTTGAAGAATGCTCGCTGGTTCTAAATCTTTCGGAAGATGTAGTTCTCTTTTTCCCAAACTGGCATAAACACACAGACACATGTACGTACACATTACAGCAAACCTCTCATTGACAATACTGTAACACACTATGATTATTACACAGACCCGGTGAAGTCAAAATGCTGATTGCAGTAGCATAGATATCCCTGGCTCAGTGACACTGCTGCTTTCCAGTCTCCTACGTGAGAAGCCAACCACACCGCCTCAGGAAAGAGTCCCCCCAGCAGCAGCAGGTCCTGGGCAAACTCCACCGTCCAGATCTGTGAGAGCTGCTGCTGCCTCACCGCCTGAGTGACCTTTCCCTGACACAGAGGCACCAGACGACCCGCACTGGAGGCTGGAAAGTCATCAATCGTTAAATAAATGACAAGTTTACAAAAGCATATGATATTTGCGACGTTTCTTACACACCATGGGGCGTATGTATTGGTGGGAGGACATTGACATTGTGGGGAGGCAGTATGTGAAGGCTCTGGTTGCTGAAGTAAGAAGCCATGAATCTCCCCAGAGTCTGAACCACTGCGTAAGCTGCGTCTGCGCTGACGGCGTCTGGAAGCCACTTGCATTGAAGGGATTCTGAAACAACACCAGCAAAGGTAAACGCTGCCTTGCACTTTCCATGACATAGACTGTACACAGATGGACAATGCTAACATGATCAATGAAGCCCAGTAGGGAAGTGCTCATGTGCGATGTTTTGCTCTCTCTGGCTCCTATTGACTTACATGTAAACTCTTCTCGCTCAGTAACCGTTTGTGTCACACTCACAATTTTGGACTTAAATAATCTGGTCTGGAGCTCTCTTTAGCCCAGTTTCCACCAGCCCAACTTGGCCTTATCCTTATACCCTACTACTACACTTTAGCATCTTGTACTCTATCCTAGAAACCTACCCACAACAAACCATTATCCGGGACAATTCCTCGAAAAGTCCTAGATAGAACCAGGACATGCCATAGGGGGACTGGTACGGGGTGGTGCTGGGTAAACAGGACCAATGGAAACACTCTCAATCAGAGCAGAACAGAGCAGGGTAGGGGTGGTAGTAAGAGGGCTTATGATCCTGGTGTTTATATTTCGATTGTCTCGTAAATCCAGATATGACCCAAGGATTGCCCAGGAGGAAGCTCCAGTTTGCCCTAGCAGCCGTAGAAACACATCTGCACCGCTACGACAGCGGCGGTGGTAGAGCATAGGCCTTTGAGCCTGAAGGTCGTGGGTTTGAGCCCAGTACAAGAATTTCTCCACCGACTCCGCTGATGTCTGCTGTCGTTGTGTCCTTGGGCAAGACACTTAACCCCACTTTGCCCAAAAAAGGAGCGTGGAAGTAATGATCGCTGCATGCCTTAATGTGTTTATCTGCATGTGTATTCATCAAAACTGAAATTTCCCAACTGTGGGACGAATAAAGGACCTTCTTCTTTACACGGCAAAGCTATGAGAACAAATGCCTATTTAAGAAAACTGGCTCCAGCTTGTGTTCAAATTGGCCTCTTCTGCCTTAATCCGATTCTAAATGATTTTATTGCCATGTGAGTAACAAAGAACTTGCTTTGGCTCTCAGTGTAAACAAGTTAAAGTGGTGATGTCACACTCTCAGTCTGTGGTGACACGATATCTGACAGTTTCTCTGCTCTCACCTTCCTGATTCCCAGTGGATCGCAGTATGAGGAAGGACATGTGGTCTCCCAACTCCTGAGCTTGCTTTAGATTGTACTGAGAGAGAAGACTGTATAAAAGTGCCAAACAGAGGCGCTTTTCCTGGAACACAGAGCGCTTAGCACCTGAAAGAGAAAGCAGAGTCGATGTTGGGTTGAGACTCTTGCATCTCATTAGGATTCCTACCGTTTTGGGTCATCTCCATCAGCTGTGAATACCAAACGTCTGAACTTTCTGAGTAGAAGCCGGACAGAAAGAGATTCTCCCCTGAAACAACAATAATTAAGATGAAGAGTGGGGAAATGTCAGTGTTGCATTAGCAGTTACAGAACAGTAGGAAAGAGGAGCACTAGAAAAATGAACAATAATGCTACACAAAAATCTAATGAAATCTCTAACTGTAGCTTAATAAAGAAGCAAGTACAAATCTGTAGCTATAGCATAGTAAAGTAGGGTCTGGGACAAAGGGACAGTGACACATGTGGTTCTATATCTGACATTATATCAAACTGTTATTGCACAGACGTACAACATGTGAGGATATGTGACAATATAAGAAGTATGGTGACTAGGGGTGGGAACCTAAGGTTACCTCACGATACGATACGATACAAAGCTCACGATAACGATATTATCACGATAACGATATTATCACAATAACGATTTTATCATGATTTGACGATTATCGATATATTGGTCAGAAATATACAATATGCCAATTTATGGAATAAATAAAATAAAAAATACACTTTATTTCATGATAAATGGAATGGAGATGCGTAATGTAGCCATATATTAAGTATTGATACCAATAAAAATAAAAAAAATTGTAAAAAAAAAAACAATTGGCAAATGCATATCAATAATCGAATCTCGGGAGGAAGTATCGCGATATATCGATTCACACCCCTAATGGTGACCTCTCTAATAAATCCGGCACACACCTGTACAGTCCAAGAGTCTGTCGTGCTCCTCCAGTCTCTCTCCTGTCGATTGTATCTGAGTTTGAATCTCACACATCATAATCACCGACTGCTCTTTTTCCTGTTCCCAGTTTTCACAATCTTTAAAGTTTTCCAAATCCTTCATGTACTTTTGACACACTGTGTAAAGCCATCTCCAGATGTTGTGGAACCTTCACAAAAAAGGGAGATCATTTTAGGATAAGATAATTAGAAAGAAATGCCCTCGTCGTCTGCTCTCCCCTTCCCATGTCCCCCTCATAAGATATTTACAAACAGAAGTATACTTTCTGGCTGATATCAATCCAACACTTTCTCCTTTTCCAAAACGAGCCTTTTGCAGAACGACATATTATTGAATTGCTATTTGATTCTCTGCCTCTTATACGAGTCACGATAATAATGCTAAATTCATAATAAAAGTAAATGAAAAGCAGAATGCCTGTGCTTACCTTCGGGATGGTACAGGAGCAGGAGACGCACAGTGTGTGTGTGTTGCAGGTTGCAGCAGCGACACACAGTGTAGATCTGAGAGCTGAAGCGCTTCAGAAGGATCCTCTCCCACAGAGATGCAGACGCTTCTCTGCTGCAGAGTGTAGCATTTATCCAGAGACTGAGAAAACATGTCAAGTATTTGCAGCGCTGTGGAGAGACCGTGGGACAATATCTTAAAGCTATGAGTCGAGTCAGAGTCGGAGTAAGGAGTCAGCACGAGTTCAACCAGACGTTTACAAAGATCCACCATGATCCCGACAAACTGTGGTCCTTCTGAGTTGGCTCTGTGCCATGGAGTAAAGTGGAGAACCTTCTTGAGGAAGTCCAACATGTGATTGTGTTGGTTTTCTGTATGTTCCAGAGATCTGAGCTGCAGCAAAGCAGTGAAACGGAGAGTACACTTCACGGCATGTTTCAGGAGAGAAGGTTTGTGTCCCACAGACGCCGCAAACGCCCAGACAGATAACAGTCTGCTCTGGGTCTTCTCAAAGTCACAACCAGTCCATTTGATTCCAACGCGTGAACCACGTTCAGAATCTGACTCTAGACACTGTTCGTATTGTGTTGTCAAGGCATGAAGAGTATCAAACATCGAGGCAAACTCCAGCCGACCGCCCTTCTCTGCATGGGACCCCAGAGGGACCCCCTCCACGTCCGAATCCTCCTCAAAGAAACTCTGGAAAAGACAAGATTAGGACTAGGAGACACCATTTGGGTGGATCGGGTTGAGCACTTTTTAGTTGTGCTAATTTCAATCTACACTTATTCAAGTCACTTTTGAAAAACCTTGCTAACCCTATGCCATTATTATTTTTCAAACCTGCACTGTTACCAAGAGATCTCTGGGGTTTCCCATTGTTCCATGATCTTGTAGGAAGAAGGGCAAAGAGGATCGGTCAGCAGCAGCAGGGATGTGTGAGCTCGTAGGTCTGTCGATTGGATTTAACTCCAGAAGGTTTTGTTCCATATTCAGAGAGGACACTGAATCCAACCACACCTTCACATGTTTCTGCAACAGAAATAATTGTGACCGTTTAAAGAGGTAATGAAATGTATACATTTACCATGTCCTGTATTCAAATGAACACTGCTAACAGACTGTATACAGATAGGCAATGCTATACAAGCTCAATGAAGCCCAATAGGGAAGTGCTCATGGTGAAGTTTGGCTCCTCAATAGGAGTCAGAGCTTATATTGCATTGTTTATATTGTGATATTGTTTTTGTAAATCCAGATATGAGCCATTTATGGATTGACCAATCGGATGCCTTCATTCATCGTGAAAATGCCAGCTTACCTTAGCAACCGTCTTAGCAACGCATTTTCCCCTGTTTAATACTGTGGTGATGTCACAGTCAGTCCACTCCTCGTATACGCTCTATGGTGTTTACAACAGCATGAATCAACAGCAAATGTTTAAAATAGATTCTACACCTGTGCATCATCCAGTAACTGACTGGCCCTGTCCAGATCCACAGTCGTTTCCTTCAGGAGAGTGATCAGCAGCTGAGTGGGTGAAACTTTGTCGACCACCCTGACAACCGTTGCCATGTACCCGTCGGAAACAATGAAGTAAAAAAGTCGCGGGTGCCAGGTGACCGAATACCGTTGCCTCATCACATCTCGCCGAGACAAGCTGGAGCTGGACAGAGACGCTTCTCCTTTGGCTGAGGTCGACGGAGGCCTGAATAGAAGCAGAGTATAATAAACTATAAGGCGCACCTGGATAAAACCACACAGCCTAACTTTAAAAAGAAAATAGATGTTGTCCACATACAGGCCACACTTTCATGATGCAGTGTAGCAGAAAGAGGATTGTTTTAACTAGACACAACATGATTTAATGATGAGGTGTTGAACAGCTTCACCGTTAGCTTCTAAACCGGTACTCATCCATCCATCCATTTTCTTCCCTTTAATCCATTTCTGGGTCGGGGGGGTGGCAGTCAGAGCTGCACCCAGTCCACAGAGCACCAGCCCCTCACTGATCCTCCTGCAGGTGGTGAGTCCACAGGAGCCTTGATCTTTCAGTGGGGGCTTCAGGCAAAGTGGGGTTAAGTGTCTTGCCCAAGGACACAAATATTTTGACAATAAACAAGTGTCCTGTAGCTGCTAAGCCAACCCTAACACTGATAGAGTCAAAATACTAAGTCCATAAACTCTGCTCTGACAACTGCCTAACTCTGCCACAAAAAAACACATATTAGCTGCATACATATATAAGAGGCAGGGCCAAAGAACCAGAAAAAAGTAGCGGCTTACAGTCTGTCAATTACGGTACCTTAAACGACAATATAAATCTGACGTTACTACATGAATGACTGCACCTGTAAGTAACCAGTGGATGCAGAGGGAGGAAATGAGCAGGTCCAAAGTCTACGTTGCAGCCGGAGGTGGACAGAGTCAGGAGTCCTCCAACTCGAGCCAACATCAAGAGAGAACCTCTTTTCAAAACACAGGCCAGAAACAGACCACTCTGAGACCAGCTCACAGAACCCACCCAGTACGACCTGAAGGGAAGCGCAAACATTATATAGATTCAGTTGATACTTTATTGATCCCTGTAGGACAAAACAGAGTGTTCAGCAGCAGAAACAAATGCATCCATACAATCACATAAATACATTATTGCCCTGTCTCCACCAGCCTTACTCTACTTTACTCTAATCTCAATGGGAGCATTTTGAATTTCTCCTACAGGGGGATCATTAAAATATCAATCTATCTATTTCAAAAGGCCCTGCTTAACTGGTACCAGGTCATTATAACACTGGGTAACAAAAAAATATTTTTTGAAAATAGTCCAGGGTTTTCCAGCTGAATTAGACTAATTTTGATGCTCTGAGTCTGAAAATGACCTTGGAGTTGCTCAATCAGGTCAGGATTTTTTGCTACAGAAATTTTTTTTTTTAAATCAATTTTGCGTAAAAAAAACAAATTTTTGCGGATCATCAGCTGAGAAACCCTTGACGTTTTTTCCGTTTTCCTGAAGAAATAAAAGTCAACGTATCCAAAGTCATTCAGTTTGTATTTACTCTATCAAATTTGATAAGCAGAATTCATAATAACATAGACGTACATAATCCGTAACACTATGGCTGTATCTCAAAAGGTTGACCTGACCTGAGCAAAATGCATGTGATATTCGGACTCAGAACACCAAAATTAGTCTAAATCAGTTGAGAAACCCCTGACCATTTTTTGGCTGTCAATTTGTGTAATCAGTAATCGGTCCTGGTCTTATCCAGGCCGAGCTGGTACTAACGTGTTCTGCTGACATTGATTGGCCAGAGCGATGGTGGAAGCCATGGTTACCAAGGATTTTCCCTGAATACTGGTTTGTTTTGGGTCAGCAAAAGGTACCAGATACTAAAGCATAATAGAAACACAACCAGGTAGAGTAGAGTAAGAGTATTAGTGATATTTTATGTACTTTTGATGTTCTAATCTGTAGTATTATTATTAGTATCATTATTATCATGATTAGTAGTAGTAGAGTAGATTAGAGTAGAGTAGGAGTAGGGCCGAGTAGGGCTGGTTGGAACAGGACTTATGCAGCTGCTGAGAGAGTGTGTACCTTATGTATTTTGATGGAATTTCCTTTTTCTTACATCCACAGCCTCCAAGGCGACTTGGGATTGACACAAAATTAATAGTGCTGACAAATAGAACTTGCGTGGCCTGAAAAGTATAATCCAAACAAAAACATGCGTAAATAAAAGTCCAACTCAAATAAGTAAATGTAAACACAAAACCTGTGGTTGTCTCTGGTTTAAAACGACAGCGAGCAGTTGTCCATCAGGAGAGAGGGCGGAGACTAAGGCCCCTCTGGACTTCACGGGTCGACACGGAGGTCTGAGATCCGCCATGGAGAACGTTCTGGAGACCCACGTCACACTGAAGCTGACAGAACTGGTAACATAATAAAACTATTCACACCAAAGAAATATACAGACTCTTTGATATTATGTAATTAACATAATATTCACCCAGATTTCTCTTGATTCTCGCCCCATGTGATTTTGAGAAAAGATATGACGAGGTTTTTTCCGGACGTAAACATAAATGTGGACAAACAGATGTCGCCTGTGACCTGAAAAGAGTGACATCACTTACTGCACGATACATTGGAGCTGTTAGAAATGTGAGGCATGTAACTCTGGCTTGTGTTGCAATGTCGTCAATGTATGTATTTTTATTATGTTAGAGCGCCCCCTGGAGTCAACTGTTGAGTTGATGATGTAGCACACGTTCCTGCTTCAGAGCGTTTATGTAAACAGCAGAGAGCATGTTCAGGGGACTGCAGGGCAATACACAGGACAATGTTATTTTATAAAATTTGAAAGAATTGTAAAATGTCAACATGAATGTATGTATGTTTTTTAGATGTTGGCCTGGTCTTCCTCAAAAAAAAATCTCCTGGTTAAATAAAGTAAATACATAAATAATATATTAATAGGGAAATGGGGATTTATAATTTTTACTCCAATTAATTTTCTAAGAATGGGACACATGTTTATTGTCAGAATAGACTACATTTCCCAGAGTTCCAGAGTTTGCTCCTCACTAATCTACAGTTAAATCATGTTGGGTCCAAATAAAAGTAAAAGGTTCATTATGTCTTGTTTATCTTTAGGCTTTGGTTCTTAATAAGGACATAGTACAGCTCCATCACCACATGTTTGGGTGCGTCTCTTTTCAGTTCAGACAGAAACAGCTGATAACAGGTCATTTAGCAGAACTGTCTTTGTTACACTTTTGTCTTATTTAAAGAAACTTATAAATCATGTAGTGTTCAGTAAAAACAGTCATGACATTAAACATGAACCTTACATTTAACAGTAATAGTCCAGTGAGTTCTGTACATTATTCTAACACAAACCTCTGTCTGAACAAACAGTGTGTGCGCAGAGGCTTCTTTGTCGTGTGACGTTGGCAGTTGTGTGTCATCAGAGGAGTGGATGTGGGTCCAGTCTCCTCTCACTGTGCCGTCTCTGAGCCACATCAGGTCTTTGGCGTCTGTGCACTGCCAGAGGAACACCTGTCCTGTTACAGCCACCAGCAGCACACGTTTGGCATCTCCTGATACTTGGAGAGACAGTTTGGAGGCACTTCCTGTGAGATAAAACGTTTCAGATGATCTTACTGTACTTCTCAGTGTCTGCTCCAAGAATGGAATAGCTTTTGATGTGAATAAGAATAATGCAAGTAAAAGTATGATAATGCCAAATTCTGTCTGAACTGTCCATTCCTATTGTTCTGTAACTGGTGACGAAACACTGAAATGTACTGGATGTATTTGAATTATGTTCATGTGGTGCGAGTTTAGAAGTTTTTAGTTCTTTAACACTCCATTTCGAGCTGACAATTTGTAGGTAGAAATACATTTGCAAATACATATTGAAATTGTATACAACACATGGTGAAACTTGGGCAAATACTGTTGCTTGATGGTATTTATGTTTATATATTTACATGTGTATACTGTAAGCACAGTACACAAACTGTACAAATGTCATGTAAAATAAGGAATCTAAATATTATAAATACTTATGAATGTAAAATGTCTGCTTGAATGAACAAAATCAATCAATGTGTTATTTTGTGTGTTTCTTATCCTGGACCACGAGTCTGCAAAAATGATGGCATATGATGATGATGTAACTGCATTAACAGTGCAGAGATAATGGATGTGGAACATTGAGGATTGGATTCAAAGCAGACCTTGAATCGAGGATATGAAATCAGCAACTTCAGAGACAGCTGCAGTTGTTTTCAGAACGTCTTTATCTCTATTCCACAGGAATATTATCCCAGGTTTTAGGAGTCCAGCAAGCCACACGCCTGAAACAGAACAAGATATGAACATCATGATAATTATAATGACGTACACTGAATATAGTCCTTAGAGTAGTAGAAGAGTAGAGTAGAGTAGAGTAGAGTAGAGTAGAGTAGAGTAGAGTAGAGTAGAGTAGAGTAGAGTAGAGTAGAGTAGAGTAGAGTAGAGTAGAGTAGAATAGAGTAGTAGAGTAGAGTAGAGTAGGGAAGGGTAGGGTAATGACAGAGTAGAGTAGAGTAGAGTAGAGTAGAGTAGAGTAGAGTAGAGTAGAGTAGAGTAGAGTAGAGTAGAGTAGAGTAGAGTAGGAGTAGAGGGGACTAGCTCCACTCTGGGCTGCTCCCTGGACTCTGTGGAGGAGGTGAGGGACAGGAGGGTGCTAGCCAAAGCCACCTCCATCATGAACAATACATCCCTCCCACTGCACAGGACTGTAGAGGAGCTGAGGAGCTCCTTCAGTGGAAGACTGAGGCACCCTCAGTGTAGGAAGGAGCGCTACCGCAGGGCCTTTATCCCCACCGCTGTCAGACTGTACAATAAGTCACTTTAAATGATCACTGTGTGAAAACCTGCACTCCTATTGACACTGTTTCCAATCGACACTTGTCACTTTTGTTGCACATAATTATTGTCACTTTATTGTACATATATCCTGCATGTAACATGTTTGCACATTTCCTCCTTTTGCACAATCTGAGTGTTCTATCCATGCCAAATGTGACATGTACATTTCTCCTCTGTGAGATAAATAAAGCACATCTTATCTTATCTTATGTAAACCTGGTGGAAAATGGGCCTAAAGATAAAAAATCTTGAACTAGGACCATATCGATACCAGAACCATATGGATACCAGGACCACCAGGACCATGTGTATTAAGGTAACTTTTTTTTCCTGAGCGAATAGATGACAACTGTATTTCCACAAACCATTGCTTGATGACGCCATCGTTACTGCACTGTTGAGAAGCGGCTGCAGTTTGGGAGTTCTTTTCTTAGTGCGTCCTGAGGACAGGTTGATTTCGCTGATTCTGTGGTCATCCAAGAGGAACACGGACTCCTTCTCCTGGACCAAAACAAATGGCTGTGATACAGTCTGCTCTCAGTAACGTTTGATGCGTTACTACAGACTGTAATGATACCTGTCCAAGCCAACAGAACCTTGGCCATGGTTTCCTGCGTTTGATGTTTGAAGACAAAACAACTTCCAGCTTAATCTCCATTTTCCAGCACTTTTTACTGGATACAATTCACGGGAGAAAATCACCAACTTCCATCGTGTGCGCTTGACAGAAGAGTAAACAAATGTATTACAGTAGTATTATGACGTCACGATGTAATGTTATGAATGTGTGCTTAACGTCTTGTTATTGCATCTTGAGTAATAGAAAGCGTTAACAGCTAACGTTACCTTTGTGAGGTTAGCATCATTGGCTAGCCACCTCGCTAGCATATCTTGAGAAGAGAAACCCGGGTTGACAAACTCCCAGAAACCTGCAGTATCCACAGGTCATGCAGGGAAACACCTTTCGGGAAATTATCGTAATAGTTGTTACACGTTTATCTTGGTAAATGTTTCAAATATCCCTCCGCGTCAAAAGCACATTTACCCATGATCCTTCGGGAGGAAGCCACATCCCGTTGCCGTGGAAACTATTTTATTTTATTTTATTTTATAGCAAAGAAATAACATGAGCAACAACTTGTACCTTTATTCAACTGTATTTATTATTTTTTAGACATAATAAATATGAATATCTCCTTTATGAGTACAACGCGGTTAGCATTAGCAGCTAACAGCTGAGTTTAGCACATAGGTTCAGCCTCAACAGCCCGATGTCAGGAGGAAACCGTTGTTGTAATTTATTAAACGTAAAATAACATAATTTATAATGTGAATAAAAATATATAAAAAATAAAATAAAGAATAAAGCTCAATCTCCTCCGGTCATCATGTCATATTGACAAAACATTTTTAATATTGGTAATATAAATGTAAATACACATTCTGTCATCATACTTTCCCTGTAGTCACTGTAGTACACGGTCTTTTAACAATGACTGATGTCTGAACGGGAGCAGCAGAGGGCAGCAGAACTATTCCAGAACTCAGCTCAATAAGGAATCCCACTGTTGGTGATGATAAACCAAGACTGCTTCTCTCTTATTTCTAATCATTTCAAGTGTTCAAGGTCATGTCTCTCAAATAAAGCATATCTTTATTTAAAAATTATTACGCGGGGAAACTGTGTCACTTTATTAACTTTATTTGTATGGCACAAACATAAACCAGGGAGAGAGCAGAAGAGAGGGAGAAAGAGAGAGAGGAGAAATACTTAAGAGGGACCAGAGAGAGAGAGAAGAGAAGAGACCAGAGAGAGGGACCAGAAAGGCACCAGAGGAATAGATTGGCTCCAGGGAGATAGCCCAATAAGAGAGAACCCTGGCTGATATCAGACAGGCTGATATCTCATTTATTTCTGATAATTTCAGACAATCAAGGTCATGTATCCACAGTCTCTGCTCAGTGTCATAAATGTCCCCCTTTAGCCCCCCCCCCCCCCCCCCCTCCCCCTCTACCTCCCTCTGCCTCCCTCTCTCTCTCTTTCCTCATTGCCTTGTTACACACTTATTAGCTTTGCCCCCTGGCCCCTGCAGTTTAATTACCCCTGTGCGCTTTTCCTTTCATCATGATGGAGATGACGGTGAAAGACAGACCATAATTGGTTCATTTGCTTCTGCCAGGTGCAGATGGAGCTCTTTATGACTGTCATGGCCAGGAGGCTTCGTGTATTTGTAGGGCATTTAAGAGACCAGGAAAGAGACACAAGGGCAAGACGGAGAGAGAGCAGAGAGAACAGAGAGAGAGAGAGAGAGAGAGCAGAGAGAGAGAGAGAACGGAGAGAGACCAGAGAAAGACCAGGAAAGAGACACTAGAGAGACCAGAGAGATAAAACATAGAGAGAGAACCGAGAGAGAGACAATTTGACAAGGAATTTAGGGTTAGAAATGCAGTGAAATGTAGAAAAATGATTTCTAATGTATGTTTATGGCTTGTTTGACTCTTCGCTACTCCATTCTTCCCCCAACAAACCAGACTTCGGGAAATTCCTTGGTAACCATGACTTCCAACAGCAATCACTGTCAGAACACTTTAGTACCAGCTCGGCCTGGATAGAACCGGGACCGTGAGGGAGTAGAGTAAAGTAGACTAGAGTAGAGTAGTGTATGATGGGTGTAAAGGTGAAATAATATCCAAATTAAAACTAGGACCATGAATACCAGGACCATAAGAATACCAGGACCATATGAATACCAGGACCATATGGAAGCATGTGGTTGAGTCTTACAATGGCCATAACATAGAACAATCTTCTTCTAAATGGCTCATGTCTCCAGCTCAATAAGAGGCCTCGTTGTCATGGTAACCATGGTTTGCCATCTGCAGGCCCCATTCATTCTGAGAAATGACACTCCGAAAGCTGTCAAGAAACAATTTGATATTCTTATCTCCGAGACAGAGGCTGTAGGAGCAGTCTAGTGTGTGTGCGTGTGTGTGTGTGTGTGTGCGTCCAACAGAAGGATGACTGCTGTATAACAGATCTGTGAGGAGGCAAGTTTGCAACTCAAACCAACAAACAAAAAACAAAAGGCCTTCAAATCATAAAGAATCACAGAGCATTTAAAAGAGAGAAGATAAAATCCCCCCCCCCCCCCCCCCACACACAGGTGCATCTGCCTCATGTTGTGATAACAACATGTTCATTTCAGGCTCCATGAATAGTTGTAATAAAGTGATATTTAGACTGAGAGAGTGTCTCCTCTCGCCTCATCACGCACCTCATGACCCGAGTATCCACCTAAATGTCTGTCCTACATTTGGGAAAAACAAACCAGAAAAGGGATCAACGGAGACCAGTGTCTGGAGAAACATGTTACACAAGTAATGTAGTGACTATATTGTGTTGCTTTTTACTGTAACACAGTAATGTGAGACATTCAGAACAAACCTAGTGCTTTGTTTTTATCTTCTGCGAGATCAGCAGGAGACACGTCTGCTCCAATAGTATTGGTCTGGAAGTGTTGTTCCTTTCTGGTAGAAGATGCTGAGGCTGAACAGCCTCAGTCCTGGGCCTACAGCCTCAGTCCTTAGTCTACAGCCTCAATCCTGGGTCTACAACCTCAGTCCTGGGTCTTGTTAGTATTAGATAGCAATATGGCCTACGTGCAGGACTGTACAAGGACTCTACAAGGACTCCATGTTATGACTATGATGTGACTGTCTCTTTGTGACACGTATGTCTTTCGATGTGTGACGTGACAATGACTATATAAACTGTGTACTGCCTTTATTCTGTCTGAGAGAAAGAAACAGAGTAAACCAGTGGAACTTGAGAGAAACGTAAATTCCAGAGTTTGGCACACCACGATCCGTCTCTGTCTGCTGAATCCTGACAGATTACAGCTTCAGTCCTGGGTCTATAGCCTCAGTCCTGGGTCTACAGCTTCAGTCCTGGGTCTACAGCCTCAGTCCTGGGTCTACAGCCTCAGTCCTGGATCTACAGCCTCAGTCCTGGGTCTACAGCCTCAGTCCTGGGTCTACAGCCTCAGTCCTGGATCTACAGCCTCAGTCCTGGGTCTACAGCCTCAGTCCTGGTGGTTTCTCTCTGATGCAGGTAGGTCTAGTGATGATCCTGGACATTTAGGAACATTTCTGGAGAGTTATCATGCAGCTCCCTATGAACCAATGGCTTCTATGTGTTTGAACTATTTGATTCTCTGATCTGTTGTTGGTGAATCCACAACTTTGTAAAGTCATCAGTCCAATACAACTGCTTCTGTCATTTAGAGCTGTACATACCGTTTGACACTTCCTGGATTGAGGGGGTGCATCAAATCAAATTGTTTCCTCTCAAGTCTTCTTTTTCTTTTTTTCCCCACAACGTGCTCACTCCGATGCCTGTACGTCACTCTACGTCCCGCCCCCCTCGTGCTGCGATTGGACACATCGTGGGAATATTTAAATTACCTTTGCCTGATTGGCTCTCCGCCCGGTGCCAGCAGCGCAGCTCAGCCTCAGCTCCATCCCCACATCACTCTCCGGTGGCAGACCAGCTGAGAGGGCTCCCACACGGCCCCACTGGAACACCCTCTGCCCCCCCCCCAAACCACGGCCCTATCCCGGGATACGAACATGTAGAGGACGAATCCGAGTCCCATCCATGGATATCCCACCGGAGCAGAGCTGTACGCGTTGGGGAAGCAGCGCAAGGGACGTACCGGAGACGGACAGATCAGCCTCGGCCAGGCAGAGATAAACAAGCCCTATGGTCAGCTGAAACTACGTAAGATCTGCTTTTAACCTCATTTATGTCTTAGTTACAGTGTCTACTCTATGTGATGTTTTTAAATCCGCTTGGAATGTGTGTTTGCTCAATATATAGAAGTATGCAGTCAGATTGGAGGCAGATTATATGATGTATTTAGTCATTTATGTGTCATTCCTGCATAGTAATAACATTAGCAATACTGTATTATTAATAGGTCTATGTGTGTGTTATTAGCCTATCCAAATATGGGACCCAGCTGTTTTTACGACACTGGCTTCACCTGTACGTGCCACCACTACACACATTACACACACTACACACATATCATATCATTTCTTCTCAGCTTGAGGATTTGGTTCTTTTCAAGTCTGATCTGAAGTGGAGCCCTGCCACATCCCTTCCCATCAGCCTTCCCCCCCCAGATGATGTGAAAGCCTCTTCTCCACGTCTGATTGTCTGTGGATCCAGGAAGTGCTTTGAAGTTTATTATTGGTCATTGGGAGCTGTCTGTGCTTTTGTCTGGGAGTCGGAGCAGGATCATCGCACCTCACTGCACCGTGGCAGGCGGAGGTTGGAGGTTACAGCCGCCACAGAGGGTCCTATAGATTATTGGCCAGGTGTGAAATTCTACCCTGCAAGGCTTTTTCCCTGCATGTGCCAGAACCTTTATTATCCAGGGAAATGGGATGTCACAGCTTTCCACCAGAGGCACAAGAGAAAAGGCTGCAATTTGGTGTTTATTATCCTCTTTCCTCCTTCTGTGCTATATTTTTGTGTGGAAAAAAGTCAACCCCTCGGGATCAGCTTTATTCTGAGGCACAGGGGAAATGTCCTCTGTTTGGAAATGGCGGGTTTTTTGTCCATTTGAGACGTATAATGGCAACGCAGGCGACTCAAAGGGTTGAAACAAAACAAGGCATTCAAATCATAAATAACCACAGAGCATCGAAGAGACTGAAGATAAAATCCTTCAGTTGTTGCAGAAACTGTTTTTAATCTGGATTTGAACCTATTCAGGAAGACTGTTCCAGATTTTACCTGCATGGATCTGAAATGCTGCCTCCTCATGGGTAGTCCTGACTCTGGGACCAGCAGAAGGCCAGTCCCTGTGCTCCTCAGAGTCCCAGCAGGAGGACAGTCCCTGTGCTCCTCAGAGTCCCAGCAGGAGGACAGTCCCTGTGCTCCTCAGAGTCCCAGCTGGTTCATGTGGTTCAACCTGCTTTACACATAAATATTTATAATAATTATGTGAACAGAGATCATTTATGTGTGACATACTGTAGATGTTCCAGAATGAACTCCTATCCATCATGAGAAGAGCAGCAGAGGACGGAGAGTTCCCAAAGCACAGGGACTCACACTTAGGGCTGGGCGATAAAGCGATCACGATATATATCGCAATAGACTCGTGTTCGATATCAATAGAAAACAGAGTCGATAGAAAGTTTGGTAGTTTAACTTCACTCCGTTAGAAAACACAGAAGTAAAGCAGAGTCAGAAGCGCACAGCATTCTGGGGGATGTAGGCAGAGGCCTCTCGACCTATCACGGCTGAGAATGAACTGAAAAACATTCTGGGAAATGCAAAAACAACAACCGCACCATGTGTGGCATCCATGGATCTACAGATCATGTTTCAATGCTGTGTTCAACTGTCCATGGTTCTGCACATGCGTGTGAGGAACACCATGTGCAGCGGCAGTGGGTACAAAAGCAAGAGGTTTTTCCTCTGGATGCACCTGCGGCTATCAGAGAGCTAAGCCAGGACTAAACCAGTACTAAACCAGGACTAACCAGGGCGGCATGGTGGCTGAGTGGATAGCACTCTCGCCTCTCAGTAAGAAGGTCCTGGGTTCGAATCCCGGTCGGACCAGGGCCTTTCTGAGTGGAGTTTGCATGTTCTCCCCGTGTCTGCGTAGGTTTCCTCCGGGTACTCCGGTTTCCCCTACCACTAAAAATATGTCCAATAGTTCTAGCATGCGCCTCCTGTACTGGCGACCCCGCTCCCATCTCTGTGTGGAGTGAGAGATAAATGCCCATAATTAACAATTGTAAACCGCTTTGAGACTCAGATCTGTAGTGAAAAGGCGGTATATAAATAAAGATTACTTACTACTACTTACTACTACTAAACCTGGACTAAAACAGGACTAAACCAGGACTAAACCAGGACTAAACCAGAACTAAACAGGACTTGTGAGCATATGCCTCCAGCCTCATTCCCCCGTGACTGTAAACAAGAGCTGCTAATGTGTGTAAAAAAAAAACAATAATTATCAATATCGACCGATATGATTTACTTTTATTCTGATATTTCTTTCAGCCGTATCGCCCAGCCCTACTCACACTCTCTGAGAGAAAGTCTTTCATTTCCGATCTTCCGACTGACTGTGTTTTACGGCCATTTTCATTACTCAGATTAATGAGAGGTTAGTGAACCCAGTCCAGCCTGAGAACGAAGGACCAGGCCACAGCGAGAGCCTCGGTCCGGAGCAGTGGATCACATTATTGGGAATTTTATTGGAATGTGGGCAGAAATTAATTACACAGGAAGTAAATAAAAGAGAGTGTCTGTCTGTAGAAATAATATTCATATTTGATTAAAGATTGTTTATACAAGTCGTTTTTTATATTTTTTATACAAGAAATTCATTTATGTATTTCAATTTGTGTTTAATTCACTAACAACAGATCAGAGAATCAAACAGTCTGAAGACAGGAACGGTAATAATAACAAACACATAGACCCAGGACTGAGACTGTAGACCCAGGACTGAGACTGTAGACCCAGGACTGAGGCTGTAGACCCAGGACTGAGATTGTAGACCCAGGACTGAGGCTGGTGTGGTCTTCGTTCTCCTCCGGACCTGTTAGATCCTAAGCGTGTCCCGTGGGCTTCTCCTTCTGATCTCGCATCACTCTCCAGCAGTAATTCTCCGTGAAGAGGAGGATTTGTCTTTTGGTGCTGGTTTCCCTCGGCCTTTTCCCTAAAGTAACTCAGCTGTGATTTATGGTGCGGCTGCCCGGCCTCGCTCCGTCTCCAGGCGCACACCGCAAAACCAAATGAAGGATGGAGCCGTGAGAATGACCTTTCCTGAGATCGTTATTACTCAGACCAGGCCGGGACTGATGGAGGCCGTGTGGTTTCTGCCCTGTCATCTCTGTGGGACGGTCAGTGTTAGCATTATTTGTTAGATAGATACTTTGTTGATTCCCGGCGGAGAAATTCATGTGTCCAGTAGCAGCAAAAATGAAAAATAAAATTGATCATTCTAAGAAGCTAACAATAGTAATAATCAGCAACACCCCTTCAGGTCACAGCAGCAGAGGTGGAGCAGCCACTGGGTGGAGCAGGACGGGTCACAAGGTGGAGTAGCCACTTGTTTCGGACCATTTTCTCTGCTCTAGTCCAAAGTAAAATACTAAATGTTTCATTAGCATTTTTCAAAACGTTAGCCTTCCTCCAGTGAATATTCACCTGATCCACAATTCCACGGACTATAAATCCTCTCTAGTCTGGACCAGTGCAAAACCTTGAGCACTGCTCTGGTCTCTGCTCTGGTCTCTGCTCTGGTCTCTGCTCTGGTCTCTGCCAGTTCTCTGCTCTGGTCTCTGCTCTGGTCTCTGCTCTGGTCTCTGCTCTGGTCTCTGCTCTGGTCTCTGCTCTGGTCTCTGCTCTGGTCTCTGCTCTGGTCTCTGCTCTGGTCTCTGATCTGGTCTCTGCTCTGGTCTCTGCTCTGGTCTCTGCTCTGGTCTCTGCTCTGGTCTCTGCTCTGGTCTCTGCTCTGGTCTCTGCTCTGGTCTCTGCTCTGGTCTCTGCTCTGGTCTCTGCTCTGGTCTCTGCTCTGGTCTCTGCTCAGGTCTCTGCTCAGGTCTCTGCTCAGGTCTCTGCCCAGTTCTCTGCCCAGTTCTCTGCTCTGGTCTCTGCTCTGGTCTCTGCTCTGGTCTCTGCTCTGGTCTCTGCTCTGGTGTCTGCTCTGGTCTCTGCTCTGGTCCCTGCTCTGGTCTCTGCTCTGGTCCCTATCGACCACCGAGACCCGTCATGACTAATGACCCACAGCTTTTTAAATCTGTCTAATTGGTCTATTCATAGTAATGGGATGAGGGCAGGGGGTGAGGACGGGGGTGAGGACGGGGGTGAAGGGTGGAAGGTTAAGGACTGGCCCTGCGGGGGTCCGAGAGGAGGGGACACAAGGCCTTGGTTTGTGATTAACTTCAGCGAATGGAAAGTGATGTATCTTTGTTTGTGGTGGTTCTGGGGTCTTTACTGTGAGCTCTCTCTTTTTAGGGCAATTCACTGTAAATAGATTTGTTAACTAGTTTTGTAAATGATTATATCCCAAACACCAAAGAGAGACCAGAGAGAGAGACCAGAGAGAGAGACCAGAGAGAGGCCAGAGAGAGACCAGAGAGAGAGAGACCAGAGAGAGAGACCAGAGAGAGGCCAGAGAGAGAGGCCAGAGAGAGAGACCAGAGAGAGAGAGACCAGAGAGAGACCAGAGAGAGAGAGACCAGAGAGAGAGACCAGAGAGAGAGACCAGAGACAGAGAGACCAGAGAGAGGCCAGAGAGAGAGACCAGAGAGAGGCCAGAGAGAGACTAGAGAGAGACCAGAGAGAGAGACGAGAAAGAGACCAGAGAGAGACCAGAGAGAGAGAGAGACCAGAGAGAGGCCAGAGAGAGACTAGAGAGAGACCAGAGAGAGACCAGAGAGAGGCCAGAAAGAGAGACTAGAAAGAGACCAGAGAGACCAGATAGAGACCATGGAGAGACAGGAGAGAGACCTGAGAGGGACCAGAGAGAGACAAGAGAGAAAGAGACCAGAGAGACCAGAGAGAGACCATGGAGAGACAGGAGAGAGACCATGAGAGACAAGAGAGGGACCGGAGAGA